GCCATATTAAATTCCAATGCAATTTTTGTTTAAGCCCACCGGAAGCAGAAAAAATCGATACAATCGAATGGTATTTCGGAGAAGTCGGACAGTCGTACCTGTCTATAGTATTCTACAATGAGCACATACTCCTTTCGCCCGAAGATAAAACACTACACATTTATAACTTAAAGCAAGAGCATTCGGGTAACAGCCAAACTTATTAATATTTAAAAGAGCAATGATTAATTCATTGGCGTGTTTCTAGGACAATACGTTTGCATACTGGGCGACAGTGCCACAGTACCATATTATTTGAACGTGATGTCCGGCGAAAGCAAGCTACTTGAAGTGCACACACCGTCGGCAACTTCAGGCCCATATCCAAAACAACCGGAAGCTCTGTCGGAATATAATTTAGTGTTGGACACGGAATGGGGCGATTGGTCTGAGTGTAGCAGATGTAAGGAGGTGGGCAAACGCCATCGATTAGGCTACTGTAATATTCTGTATCAGAACGTGAAGAAACGCGATACGGTACTCGGGAAAATAAAGCAGGTAATGGAATAATTGATTAAACGTCTCGTTGTTGAGATTGAGGCTAATGAACCGATTGTTGTGTTATCGATCGGGTTCAAACCGAGCGCGACTGCCTTATATTCTGATGATATTTACACTTAATGCTTTTCAGGCATTCACAAACGACAGCTTTACATTCGATACGCCGAAAATAATGAAAAAAGAAAACAACTCTGTGCTTCCAATTCACATCGAGCTTGTCAAAGTTTTTCAATACGGCATTCCATGCTCTTCCTACATTCTCCCGCAAAGCATCAAAAACTTGGAACAAGTACGAAACCGCAGTAATGAAGTTATGGTTGGATATTGTAAGGTAAGCACGGAAAACTTGAGGCTGGTTGAAAACACAAACTTTACGATCCGCTCTCACGTTAGATTCCGTGCCCGAAAGATAAAATATTCGTGGTGAAAGACAAACACGGCCACGAAATTGAACGCGCAAACAACTCGGCGGGAATTTACTCCACACTGCAAGGCGTCCCACCGACAACTCCTGAAGTTGAAAGAGTCGTGCAGTACGAGAAACGAGATACCAACGTTTTAATAGTTTGTCCAGGGTAAACAATTCGTCGGCGCTGACTTTTAACGAGTAACGAAATACTTTACAATTATAGTAATTTGAACTCCGATTCGCCGATAAAATGGTTAGTCCAAGGCAAAGAGATTATCGCCGAAGTGATCGCTGAAGAGTCACACGGTAGAATTTATATAAGTTTGTTGGAACGCATTCATATCAAGAAGTCTAAAGTGTCCGATTCTAATCTCTACAGGTGGGCTTAGAGTAAATTTAAACGAAAAGTTGCGCAAATGGTGTGAAATTTTCTGTTTCAGTTGTTGGCAAAACAACGAATTAGCCGGAACAGTCCGATTGATTGTCGAGAACAAAATGAAACTAACATTCAATCACCATATCATGCTGTTCGGAATGCTGTTGATATTGTCGGTGTTCGCGTATGTATTTTTGAAAGCAGCAACGAACCGGAAACACTCGGCGGCTGCGTTGAAATAATCGCATTAAAATAAATATTTGACTTACTGTTGACGACTGTTCCTGTGGTTTGTTGGTGCGAAAACTTGGCGGGACCATTTCGGGTGTGAGCATCGGTGGGGGATTCACCCCGGTCAGGCATCTAGCGACGAACCACATCGCCAAAGCAAATTGTTCGTTATTCAACTTACCACTTTGATTAATATCGCACAGAGCCCTAAACAAACAAATAAAAATACATAAATTATAAATTGATAACACATTATTCGTGTTATCACTCACCATATGTGCGCTAAGATTTTCTGCGGCACGCCCGATTGCAGGAACACGTCCTTTATTTCCTGTCCCGATACGAAGCCGTCCTTATCAACATCGCTCTTGACAAATAAGGCATCCGCTTTGGCCTTTTCCTCAGTGCTGACAACCCAGTTGAACGTAGGCTGTACACTTTGTACGGGTCGAGGTGGTGGCGCGCCGTGTGTTGTAGGGATAAGAGGCGCGGTTATCGGTGCCGGTGGGATGGCCGTCATCGGCGGTATAGAAGACATTGGCGGCGGCGGCATTCGCGGCTTCATACCGTCAAGATTACCAATGAGCGAGGTGTTCATTGATGCAGAGTCTTTTCTTTTCGCCGGAGGCATGAGCTCTGGCGGTAGCGTGTTTGGAATCGAGTACTTTTCTAACGCTTTATATACCAAATGCATTGCCTATAAGCAAAATAATTACATTATAAAATTAGATTTTACCATTAAAAAAAAACAAAAATGATTACTCACAGCAATAAATTCATGTTTATCCAACATTCCATCCTTGTCCTGATCAGCGAGATCCCAAATCTTGCCAAGAGTATCAAGAGGTAATTTAGAATCCATTAAAACACCCTTAACCTGTAGTACAAAAAAGGTTACGATTTTAATTAATTAACCAATTTCTGCAAACTCACTTTATTCCCAGGAATCATTCCCTCAACTGGGTGCAGGGAATGAAACAGTTTCTCATACTTTTCCCTTTCTGCAGGTTTTACAGTCCAATCAACAGCACTGGTTGGTAGTGATGTGATCAAAGGTGCGTGTGAAGGTAGAGGAGGTTTCTTAGGTTTGGGCATTGGTATATCACCCTAAAATAGAACTTTTAAGAATTGTTTTCCTTAGAAAAGAACAAACCTACTTACCATTTTGGGTGGTGGCATATCTTTATTAATATTAGCCATTTTATAGAATCACCAGCTTGTGCAAGTGACACTAACTTCAAAGCAATGTACATGCCAGTCTTGTCCAGGCAGCCGCGTCCACCCGGATCTGACAAATCCCAAATCTTTGAAAGAACAACATCACTCAAGCCAGACTTCTTCAGAAATCTGGCTGCCTCCATTGCACCTATGGTCCCTCCCCCATTTGGATCAACCTACAATTAAAATGAGCCACTTGTAAAACCATGATGTTGCAATTAACTGAGTAAACAAACAACTTACAAAATTGTAATATGCTTCATATATGGCACCATGATTTCCAGCCACCTAGAACACAAACACACTGTTACATACTTCACTTGGCTAATGAGTGTGCAATAGAAAAAGATAAGACGGCGCGGAATTCACAAGCAATTGTTCATATCTATTTGCATTACTAGAGCTCGCATGTAGGCTAGAAAACCCGAAACGTTGGAATTTTGATACAAATCCATAACTGACACAAATATTTATTGACGTTTCTAACACGGAACATTGCCAAATCCTACAGTTGACCACGCGTCACCAAAAAACAACTCCCGATCAAGCGTGACTAGTAAATCGTCTTGAGTTATTCACGGCGATTGAAGAAACACGTAATTAACTTTGATTTTGGTCAATGAAAATATCGAAATATACGCCGCCCACCAAAGTGTCAACTAGTTGCAGATTTGCAATCGCGTTTTGCGCCGTGCAGGAAAGCAACCGAGCTGCTAAATTCACAGAATATGATGGTACAAAATAACTCGCACTGGATGCAATTGAAATTTAGGCAAAATATCGCGTGGAGTAGAAATTATGGCGAAAAATCAGCAGGAGTACCTGTGTCGGCGACGGCAGGGCAGCCATCTTTTTGAATACTGATTGCCGAGTGAAATTATTGGTCGATTTTTACTATGCCAAGCGTCAACCAATCCGCGCATCGAATCGATATGCCCTATGCAGGCTTCCAACTTGACAAAAATAAACGCGCCAAAAGGGGGAATTTAACTCAAACCGGGTTGAAATGCCCGGTACTTATTATATATTTATATATTAAGCTGAAACAAATTTCATAATTGAAGCCTCTAGTTCCTTGCTAACCACAAACGGATCTTCAGTGAGCAGAGGAAGAAGCTCACTCTCTTTGGTTAAAATATCTTCGTCATAATAACTATCCAAGATGATTTCATCTGTAATTTCCTCAGCTTCCAGTAGACGCAACCACTTCAGTTTCTTATTCAAATCGCGTCCAATAACATAAAGCGCATTCAATTCCTCCGCACTAAACCGGTTACTTTCTTCTAAAAGCCTCCATACTTCTTCTTTCTGCGACTGATATTCGTTGTACATCTCGGTGTGATTCTTTACAATGTATTCGGCACAAATATCCAACAATTTCTTACATTCTAATTGGAACTAACGTCAGCTTAATTTAATTTATTTTATATTAATATCACTTGCCTTGTGGAGTTTTCTTGGAACGCCCCGAACGCCGTTTTACAGGTAGTTTCTCTTCAAACTTCGCGTTTTCTTCTCAACGGTGGAAGTTTCAACATCTTTAGACAGAACAATTTTTGATGGCGCGGATGATACATCCCGATTAACATAATTCATCAAAACACTTCTAATGCTGAATGAAAATATTATCAATAAAATTATCTAAGCAAGAAGTTTCAATGCAGAAAAACCGGCATTGTAAAGATCAGCAAACAGAAATAAGTAATTTATTTCAAATGTAAACCGTTGTTCTTTACAAAACCTGTAATTCTTCACTGTGAATATAAAAATATATTACTCCTCTGCATCGTAAACGTTCAACGACAAATTTTCCTTACATTTCGGCGGTGGAACAAAGGTAAGGAAGTATTTCAGAATATCTTCAGGTAAATCATTGAGCATTCCCTTCAAAGTCGCCGTGATCTAAAATAATGCAACGTAAATCAATAATAATCAAAATAATTCACTTGCGCTCAACGAAACTTCATCGTATTCACTGTGTGTGGACATATCTTTATTGGAATATTCTTTAATTGCTTGCAAAGCCCCATAGAGAATATGTAAACGGTCTTCGAAGTGAATTTTCAGCACGCGCATCAGCAAAGCGTCGGTGCCCTCCATACTTAAGTAACGTTAATTAAATGATAATTGTTGTGTTGTTGACATTTTGAATAATCAAAGCTGTCTCTGATAAAATGAATGTGTAATTGTTATTTGAACTGTTTATCTAGACATTTATTATCGCGATTATCGAGAGTCCCTCATCTTTTTAAGAAAATTAATCAACACATCAAATCTTTCCTTGACCTGATCCAGAGTACGATTTTTTAACTGTACTAGAATGCGTTTGAATGCTATGTCTATGACTTCTTCCTTTTGAAACGTCTCCAGAATGACTTTATCTTCTTCCCTCGTCCAAGGTTGGATTGTTGGCTCTAATGATGAAGCTGTAGTTGTATTTATAGGTTCACCATCATTACCAGATACGGATACATCACTATCAGAGTTGTTGTCTTGGGAAGTTTCAAATTCTTCACAACATTCTAAGTTTTAACAATTTGTCGCAATTATTTACTCATAAAAATCATTCCGTTTGTTAATTTTTACTTACCACTTTCCGATTCAGCACTCTCTTGACATGGTTCAGGGCTTAGTCTAATTTCGAGTGAATCCATTGATGTGTTGCAGTCCCATTCTTGAGGTTCATCCGCTAAAAGCATTGGTGTCACGTCCACAACGTCAACAGAAGTCGTTCTAGGTCGACAAACAATCTCTTCTTCATCGCGGTCAGTTGTTTCTTTCGGTGAATCTTCAATGATCATTTTGGTTTCGGCAACCAACGATTCTTTTTCAACATCTTTACTATCTATATTTACTTTCTTCCTTGGTTTTCGTTTCTTTATAGTCTTTACAAGTCGTTGTTGCTTCTTTTCAGGGGGTTCCTCGTCACTGCTCTGGCGTGTTTCGTCTTGACTATCTTTACCCGGCGATATTAATTTCACCGGACTGGTGTCGGATCGTTTTTTCAAAGAACCTGAAAGTCGCGCTCTGTGGTCCACGCTCGTATCTTCAAATGTAATTTTTGCTGGACGGAGACCTTTACCAGTTTGCAGAAACACACGTCCTTGCATAAACTATAAATTATATAATTTACAATTCTAAAGTTCAGGATTAAATGTGTTAAGTATTATTACTTTAGTTCCACAGGGTGTGCAATGTTGCGACCTTGCTTTAAACCTATCATCCTCTACACTATGACAATTACAAATGCAGTTTGGCCCACCATATGGATCATCTACCTCAGGCAAGACCAAATGTTCAAAAGTGTCATCTGTATCCTTACTCAAACAAATAGTCTCCCATGCCCCATTAATCAGTCTTGCAGGTGGTTTTTCCATTGGAAATATTTGTAAAAACCAATCAGTCAACAAACCATTACCTATTTACCAATGAAAAGTAAGATTCAAGCGCTTGATTAATTCAAATAGTAACTTTTAATATACCTTTCAAAAGCGGCAAAACGGAACTCTTAACTTGCGCCATTGTTACGTCGTTGCGCGTTGATAAATCAGTAATAGCTCTATATATTTTACGAACTTGTGACGGTTGATCTTGGAAAAACAATTCTAACTTGCGCAGAAAAAGTGACATGTTACTCATAATTAAAAACGGCACAAGTTTACCCAAAGTTTTCGCCTGCAGGCTATCGAAAAACAGCAAAAACTCGTCCATAATATCAGGATGTTTGTTACCCATAATTTCTGACACTTGATTGTAGAGAACTTTTGGTGAAGTTTGATGTTCGTCAAAATCATTTAACGCCGCCATGAATTTGTGAAAATCTTCCATTGAGAGTGTGTCTTGCACTTTATCATAAAATGCTTGTATAAAACCTGTGAAATCGTAAAAATAAAAAACTTGATTACAAATTAATTAATTATATCGTACGATCACGTTTTTCTTTGATAACATCGCCATCTTCGTCAGTCAATAATCGAAGGTTGTCCTCAAAATCCCGCTTTAATTTAGCGCGCTTCTTTTCCAAACCAGTAGGTCGACGTTTTACCACAGATTTAATCGTTGAACTGGCCACCACCAATGCATTAATATCATCTAAATTATCCTAGAATTAAAATCATTTAATCAAGATTGAAGTTATACAAGTCTTCAACAAAATTACCTTTTCTTCTGCCATTGAAATATTATCACAAAGTGTAGTCTCTGATACTGTGCTGTCAACCATAATACCCTCTTCATTACTTGTAGATGAAGAAACTTCAATTAAATCTTCATTCAAATTACTTAAATTATTTTCCTCTTCATCATTATCTAAAGTATTAGGGCTACATTCAGATTCAGATAAATTTGATGTACTGGATGCAGCAGTTGTAACATCTAAACTTGGCATGCTAGACATTGTAGATTTAGATTTTTTGTTAAATATTGATGAATTAAACTTGATTTTTAATACAGCTTCAGGAATATTAATGACTTTTTAACTCCTGGTGTAGCAAGTTTAAATAAACTCTTTTTGCACTTTGGTGTGGATGCATAAAGCTCATCCCCACAAAAATTCGTATGGTGTATTATTTTGGGTTGTACTGAAACTTCCTGCAGCTTTGGTCTGGGGCTTTTTTGTACCTTGGAGGTGATTTGTGTTGGTCGTCGACGCGCAAACTTTTTGTTATACACAGGTGGTTTAGTCACCTTCGTAATCGGCTGTGAGTTAGTTACTGGTACCTAAAATAATAATTAGTTTTCAAAAAAAGATTTGTGTAACAAACTTTACAATTGTTTCAATGGCATTCGCTTTTAGGTTGGAGTTATGATTAGTGATGAGTGTCATCGGCACCAGATGGCGCGAGGCAGCAGTTTTCAAAATATGAATGGCGTGATGTAATAAACGTACCGAATTGTTTTCTACACGACTACAAACACTTACAGTTGCCGACACCGGATGAATATAGTCTCTCCACAAATACGGTAGTTCGTTGGGGTTACGCTTACAAGGCGGAATATTTAAATACTCCTTCGCAGGAACGACAAAATGTGTGGTAGGCCAGACGATATTCTTCTCAAAGTACAATTTGATCGGATTTTGATCTTTCGAGAAGCGGAAAGCACAAACGTGCTTAAATAATCTATCAGTATCTTTACTAGGCATCATAAACTTTCGAATGCAGTGACAGACGTCATGTAATTTCACTTCACCATTCTTCTTTAAATGGTACTCATCTTGTTTGAGATACGGTGTAAACTGATCTAAACCTAATGCTATTAATCTAAAACAATTGAATTACAGGCATAAGATTAATATACAATTAATAAAATATTGATTGCCTTACTCATTTTCTGATGAAGTAAAACCAATAATTTTGGGGTTTGCTTCAACGTATTGAATTCTCGGTAGCAAACTCGGGTAGACAAACAGGTTGCTCTTTGAAATAGTCTCCATTAATAACTTTGGAAATTTTGGAACGTAGAATAATCCAGCTGCTTTGGCTTGTTTCCTAATACACAATTAAATATTTGTTATAATTAAAACTTAGAGGAAAACAATGCAAAATGACTCAAAAAGAAAAACAAAAGTTTCATTAACTTACGCTTCAGAAATAGTCTTTGCCAATTGCCTAAAAAACAACAATTTAGTAAATAACATTCATTAAAACTTCACAATTTAAATCTTACTGTTTATATTCCCTTATCACAGTTGTGTCACACGAAAATTTCGCCTTCCAGTCGTTTACAACAGCTAAAGCTTCGGAGATATTTGAACAATCATAAAATGTCTGCCCCGAAGCAGACTCCTGTAAATCATCCTGTGAAATAAAAATTAATTAAACGCATTTTTCATTTATTTACTCATTGAATTAACTCACTAAACATGTTTCGAATTTATTCGAAATCAAATCCAATTCAGGATGCTGAAAAGTCATCATAAAACCCTGCGTTAAAAGTTGAATGTGCTGTCGCAATTGTTGTTCAAACAACGCCTTTTGATCCTCGTTCATTATAAACATACTATAACCTATTATCACAACGTTACTCAACGTCGTATTCAACTGCGGATATGAATACTCCACGGTTGTATTGTCAGACTTCTCAGGTTCCTCTGGCTGCTCATCCTGTTCGGGAAAATAATTGTTAAAATTGTCAGCGTAGTCCATTAATTCACCAATGAGATCGTTTAACTCTTTGCGGGTAATATTGACGGCTCTATCCGTACGCAACTCTTCGACATCGATAACTTCCTCGTCTGCTAAAACATTATACTCTGGATCATGGTCTTCATCTTCCTGCATTGTGGCTGATACTTCAGCCAACGGTCGTGTGAATCCTTTGAGGAAGTTTTTCCAATCCTCATCGCATTCGTAATCCATTTCGTACATATCTGTGGTGATATCAGGTGGAATAAAGGTGGATTCGATGTCTTCCAGTGGTGTATTGCTGAGACATAGTTTTGATCTAGTTCGGCGTGCGATGTTCGCTTCTTCGATTTCTTTGGCATGTGCATCGTTTTTGTCGAGAGGAATTTTGAATGCACCATCTTCTGTCCAGTTGGTTTGTGTGCTGCAATCTGCTGAGTGAATTGGTGTGGATGGTTGTGTGGATTCACTTGTAAAGGATAAGTTGTGCTCATCTTCACTCTTATGAAAATAACAATGCAATGAATAAATGTTCTTTTTAGAAAATAATACAGACTTACATCTTCTGTGGGTACTTCTTCAACTGGTACATACTCATCTTCAGAGGAATCTTCCTCTGGCAATTCTTCATTAATTAAAACATGAGTTTCAGATGGTTCTTCGTCGTTATCTCTGGGCCAGAACGGTGTTTCAACTGACAATTCCCTTCAAAAGCAAAACAATCTTGTTTGTGCTTTCTACATTTATTCAATAAATTAAACTCTACTTTGTTATATCTTGATAATCATTTCAAAACGGCTATAACCAACCTAGTTGTTTTACTCAGGTATTAATAAAGGTACTAATAAAGAATCAAATAACAACTTTAATGAATTTTTACTCCATGATCTACTTGGAAACCATAAATTTATAAAACATAGATTTCACTTACCTGGCTTTTGCCCTTGTAATCTTTGGTTCATACTGCATGGTAAACTCTTCAGTAGGGTTCTCTGCATGTTTAACAAATGCAATAACTTGTTCATTGGTAATAACCTGTCTGATAATGTTTTTGACTTGTACATTCTTCAAGTTGTTTTTAGCAGCTTTTTCATCAAGAGCATTCTCAAACTCTTCCTCAATATCTTCTAGGAGTTGCTTATCGATATCGGAAATGTCGATGACCTTTCTCTTTCTAGTTATCTTCTTTGGGGTTTCAATGACCAATTTCTCTTCATCCGATGCTTCGTCCACTTGCAAATCCAAGATTTCATCGGATGGTAACGGCGAATCACTGGTGTGCGACAACACTTCCAAACTACACCCTTCCGACATATCTACACCGGCATTACACAAAACTCTCATACGGTAAACTGCGTGAAGATTAATTAGCAGACAAACACAAATGCCGATTAAGAAATGTTTTTGAAATTGTTCCGATTACTTTAGATGGTATATTGGTTATGATCAGTATGTTTGGCCTTCTAATAGTTCCAAATTAATTCACGGCGGCGCTAGAGTACAACTTCTAATATCAAAATTTTAATTTCATTAATGCTATATTATATTTAATAAAATAATTATCTAAAGTAATTTATTATTTAAATTAATTGTATTTTGATTAGGAAATCTTGATTTAATGCTATTTTTATTTAAAAATGGTATTCTATTGCGTATTAAAGTCTGTACAGATGGCGCTAGCAGACAGCAATAAAAATTCGAAGGTTAAATCGACAGACGCGACAGATGCTTTTACAAATAAACATGGCGTTTAAATGCTGTCACAAATTGTTGAAAATAAAAACTTGCCAATAATGGACACATGCCCAACTATATCAATTCGCACACCGTGAACTTATGTAAGTTGAACAACTTACATCGCAACTTGGTACTGATGGTCAATTGCCCTGAAGGTCTCTCTCAATCGAAACTTGCTACGCACATTTTGTTGGTTATGTTACCATCGAATGAACACAATGAATTCGGCCGAAGATTTACCATCAAATATCATAAATGACTGCTCGGATAATGAAAGCACACCTGCTCCTGATCCAAATGCTAATCTGAGAGACACCAGTCGCGGTGCCATCCCGAAGAAAACAAAGTCTCTGCCTACAGGCTCCACAAAGCCAATGAAGTCTGTGTCATCTGCATCATCAACATCCAAGAAAAACATCAAACTAAACAACAACATTGAGAACATGTCAACACTAAATACTACTGCTGATGAAGTCCCCAAAGTTAATGGTGTTACCAGCAATGGCCTATGCACAAATCATTACTTGAATGATTTGTTGGAGCCTTCTTGTTCAAGTAGAGATGTTTATTGCAAATTTGATGTGCATGAAAGAGATACAGCAAGTGATAGTGATGCAGTTGACAATGATAGTGATGCTGATACTGAACTGTTGTCAGTCTCAGAGGATGGTTGTATTTATACTTATAAAGGTGATAATAATGCAGACCTTCCAAGTTCATTCTTTGATATACCACCAGAGATTCCTGAAAATCAACAAGACCAACCTGCTGTTGAAGAGGTGGTGAACAGGCAGGATGCTTCAAGTCCAGAAATGGACTATCTGGAGATGGATTTTGATCCTTCTAATAATGGTGATGGAGATTCTGCCTCAGAAAATGAGATGCCAATGCAAGAGGAAGAAGAGGAAGCCAGTCCACACAATGAAGAAGAAACTGCAAATAATTTACAAGATGTAGAAGAAAGTCAAGCAAGTACAAGCGGATTAAATAATGTTAACCCAACTGGAAGTTTTAATGCTGTAAATGTTGGTGATGCAAGTCCGCTGCAGGAAATTGCAGCAAATGTTGAAAGGTAGCACTTTTCCCCCTACAAAAATAGTATTTGTATTAATTTTAATTTGTTTTATAGATGGGTTGAAAATAATGCTTCAGTACCACTTCCAGTGGCTCCTGTGATGACACCTGATGAAGGCAAAGTAATGCCCTGGTCTTGTACGCTCGCACAACGCACGAAATCGAAATATTTGCGTTATACGAAACGCGTGCATTGCTCGCGCGGCGAATTAATATCACCCAGTGAGGTGCCATCTACATCTTTTAAGATTGTTATGGTCCGCCCGGAATCATTGGAGGAACCTGCTATGATTTGGTCTCGTGAGGAAGCCAATCTCAAGCAGGTAACGCAGATTGGTCCGTCATCATGTGGCGCAACAGCTGTTTTAAACGTATTGAACGCGCTGCGGTTTCCGGTGCCTTCTTTGGAGAAGCTCCGTGAGTTCGTGACGACGCGCATGCGAGAAAATAACAGCCCACTGACTAAATATCTGATGTCGCGCAGTCGAGCTGGCTCGACGCATAAAGATCTCATCGATGGTTTGCATGAGATCTCTAATGGTACAATTTACGCGCGATTTTTTCATATGTATCCTGAGCGCGTGGTGAATCTGTACAAATGGCTGGGTTTTTGGATTACGAATGGTGCTGTGCCCATTGCCACGTTAAACCTGCAGAAATGCGTAGGAACAATTCCGGATGCTTGGCATCATCAGATGATTTACGGCGTTGATTCAATCGGAATTCATCTGACGAATCCGATGGAGCATGTGGAGGCGGGTTTGTTATGGCCGCAGCTTTGTTCTGAATCTGTTTTGATGGTTCGGCGGAGTGATGTGCTTTCACGATGGAATTTCAATACGGATTTGCCGGATCTGATGCGAATCAACGATGTCCGATGGCAGCGATTAAATGTTGTTGGTAAGTGCATTGGCAAAATGTTTGATAATGTTATTAATTGTGCTGCGTTTTCAGGTCAAGTAGCGAATGTTGTCCACGAGAACAGTCGTGAACTACGGCAGGGATTCACAAACACGTCGCATATTCGCATTCCTGCCGCGTACTCATCGGGAATAACTTTAGCCACGTCGGTTAATTCACCGGCGTACGCCCTACTGAAGCAGGCGCCCGAACTGCCACTTCTCGGCACGCAGGACGCCGCTTCCAATTAGCGGTTTGTGTTTCGATTCATAATTTAGTTGTACATTTGTAAATATCCCAGACGTTTAATTAATTTTTACGCTTCTACGAGCTAGTAGAATAGAATTGACAATTATTTGTAACAAATAGAATCTAAAACGCGTTTCGATTTTACGTTGAACTGGAAGTGCGTACGATTAAAAAACTGAATAAGAAAAATGTGATAACTATTTTGTAGCATCTGGTCATCGTTGTTTTTGGGCAAAATTTAGCGGAAGAAAAAAAGAAGTTAGCATATTATTGTAATATGAATGTGCCATTTTTCGTTGTGTATTCAGATCCAGGTAAACAAGAGCACCAAAGAAGCGGAAACGTCAATGATGACATCACATACACACACACACTGGCAGAAACATATTTAGACAATATATACTCTTATTGCAAAGTAATTGTAAGCAGAATGTGGGAAACAAGTAAACATTAATTATTCATATGCTGCCCGGAAAATGAACCTTTATGAGGGTAGCGGTTCAAGCGCGACCCATTATGTTGCCTACGCCGCCAACGAGGGCTCTATATTTATTACATACTAATATTCATTCATTACAAACCAAACTGTTTGCTGGGAATATGTATGGGAAGTTATGTCACTTTACTTTTCGAATGGAATGCGCTAATGTACGCATCATTACACTCTTTTCATTGTATTACCATAATATGACAACTTATGTACGAACAATGTATCGGTTTTTAATGTAAATACGCAAACGAATATTTATCTCGAGAATTACAGAATTATTTAAACTGGTAATTGGATGTTTTACTTCTGCTATGTTTGTTTATTCTCGTTTTCTTAACGAAACAAAACAATATTTTTTTTGTGTGCCTTCAAAATGTTATTTGAGTATCTTTTTAAAAAGTTCTCGGGTAATTAGTTATCTCGTTTACCATTTACCTTGCGCGGCAATAACACAATGTGTTTCATGGAAATTTTAATTTAATTCCAATAAGTAAATTCTATTATCATCAGGTAAAGAATTATAGAGGTACTTACATGAATTTTGATGAATTGTGATGAATGATGGTGTTGCAATGTACATTTTGCTTATTCCTAAGCAAAAATACACAATATCCAATGTTTATCCTCACTTTTCCAGCATAAAATCAAGTTTTATTGTTTATTATCGCGATTTGTTATTTTCGATTCCTCGTGGTGGTTTCATCAGATGAATCCGGCAACTGCTGCCCAATCGGAGTCTCCTCATCCGTGCTGTATACATTCTTATCACGTTTTTTAGCCTTTGCACGAAGCTGTTCTTTGGTCACAAGTTGGGCAACTGCTTCCTCCTTGCTGGAGATCGTTGCGAGTTTGCCCTGCGATTGTTCCGACTCCTAAGAGCAACAAAATGATTTACACCTTTGTGCACTGCCATTATGATAGTGTTGTTTGTTTGGCACTAGTAGTGATATGCTTGTGGTTTGTAGTAGTCGGTAGAGCGTGCGGGGATCGCCGCGATCTGGTGGGGCAGTTCCTCGGTGTTGGTTTTGTTTGACTTGAAAATTTTGTATTCGCCCGCAATCTGAAACCGTCAAACATATCACTACGTTGTGATATGGCGTGTATCTTGTAGGTATATTTCGTTGCGATTTGGAAATTAGGCGCTGAAAGCTGAGATAGACATGCAAACATTTCAAATATGAGTGGCTTACCGAACTCTGTTCGCGGCTGCTGCCTGGCTTCTCGCCCGAATAGTTGTACCACGGGTCGCTCTTGATAGTTGAGATGCGGGCGCGCGTTTTTAGCGGTGCGAGAATCTTATTGATGAGGGTCTTACACGCCGTCGACGCTTTTGGGTCTTTGGGAAAGGTCACCTTGTTCGACACTTGCTGCAGACGTGCAAAAAATATAATTTAATTCATGCTACAATTTGGTTCTTTTCAATTCGCGTACCTTCAGCAGTAAAGTGTAATTTGTGTCGTCGAAAGGCAGTCGACCAAAGATCATCGCGTAAAGAACAACCCCCATTGACCATATATCCGAATATTGCGGTTGATAGGGAATGCCTCTCAAGATCTCCGGCGACGCGTACGCATAACTGCCGCAAAAGGTCTCGCTGAGCACTTGATGGCCATTCTGCTGCTTGACGTAGGAGCGCGCGAAGCCAAAATCCGATACTTTGATGTTCATATTACCGTCCATGAGGAGGTTCTCGCACTTGATATCTCTACAAACAAGCCGGCAACCAAACCCATCAAATTATACTCACGCAAACACAAATATTAACACTTCTTTGTGTTACCTATGAACCACTCCTCGGTCATGGCAATACTCGATGGCTTCCACCAACTGTCGGAACCAGCGTCGTGCCCTACCCTCGGGAATGTAAGATTCCTTCCGAATAATGTCCAGTAAACTGCCATTATCAGCATATTCCATCACAATGTAAACTCTTCATAATAATCACAAATAAATTTAACATTTAACATTAAGTTAATATATGTACATTATACCTATGAGTAGTTTCAATAGCCTGAAGGAATCTAATTAAATTAGGATGTTTCAATCCTTTGACCACCTCGATTTCCCTCGGTAGAAACTTCTTCAAATAATCCTCGGGTGCCGTGTATTTGCTGACGATCTTAATGGCTACATTTCCTCCGTGTAACTCGCTGTGCGCCATCTTAAAATGCATAAAAAAGAAGCAAATCTTTACCGAACTCAATGGAAGATGACGGAGCGTAGTTAGCCGTTCATACCCTGACCGTGGCATAGGAGCCTGAGCCGATGGTTTTGCCGAGAAAGTAGCCATGGCTCTCAAGGACAGTCTTTCGATCCTTGGAGTTATCTATGGCCTGAGAGGGGTGAGACTGGTGTGCTGTCTGATGATGTACGCTGTTGACTGGAGAAGGCATTGCATTACAAACGGCTGCAAATTAATTCATGTTCTCCGGCTTGCAGCGAGATTATATTCGTAAGGATATTATATTATTGTGTAAAACGGTGCTTGAATGATGCTTTTATACTTGTGGTAAACAGAAATGAACGTTTTTCAAAGTTGTAAAAGAGAACTTGGTAATTTTGACAAAAAATTTTGATAGACATTTAATGTGACGTTAAAAACACTAAAAAAACAAAATATTTTAGTTTTAAATCACAAAAATGTAAGAAAATTTAGTTAAAAATAAAATTTTCTGTTTAACTGATCAAAAATCAAATCATATTTGATTGGTTCAGATTTTTTCATTATTTCATTTTTTATGATTGCGCTTCTGCCTTGAAAAACGGTTAAAGATGAAAATTCCAGCCCCCACATCGCAATAATATGCGAAAACGACGCATTACCCGGTAGCACTTGTCCACTCCGCGTCGTCCGTCGATCCGAATGAAATTTTGCACGGTCCGTTTTATTAGAATTCCGGCATTTCGCTTAGTTTACATAAAATTCGCCCATTTTCCGCACAAGCTCGTCCTCGGCCAGGAGTGCGGACTGCCCTCGTGCAAACACCAATATACATACGCACCAAAGAACCACTAAACATTATTGCTTTTAATAACAAGCCGGCATACGAGGGGAGCATTCACCATATAATATAACAGTTACAGCGTAATGCGACAAGCAGCCGAGGGTCGCCACATCCCTTTTTATGATTTTTATTACACTTTTATTATTTTACTACTATCTCTCGTGCCGGCGGCGGCTGCCGGCAATTTTTTCCCGTTTAAACTTTTCACGCATTCTAGTACCCAGCGTCGACATATGCGAAAAGTTGTGACCGTTTACATTTTAGTTTCGCAGCTTCGCAATTACAACTTTTGCGAGTTTTTACAATCCGCCGTGCAGGCAGATTGTTTTATTTTTCCACGACCACCACCCAGTTTTCCACCCGACAATGGCGAAAACAAACGTAATCATATTTGGCTGCTTTTCGTTTACTGAACAAACACAAATATTTATTTGTTTGCGCAGAAATTAAACACACATCAAATCCGTTCGGATGGCGTGTGCTTTGAATGTATTAGCACATAATTTAATGGATTTCGTATCAATCATCTTTTTGTCGGGAGATGCAAGTATTGCTTTCATGTACCGCATGGAAATCTGGTAATGTGATGGATTATTGTTTGTGATTCGCTGTCATCGGCCAGTGCTTTGAAGTCATCCACCTTAGAATTCACCACGTGAAGAATCGAGACTGTTTTCCATATCGAGCAGTTTATCTTAAAAAAAATGTGTTGTGTATGTATACGTACACAAAAAAATTTTTAATTCATAAAAAAATAAATGTGCTTGATAATTTTTAACGACGATTTTTGATGGGAAATATCTTCTAAACGAAGAGAAATAGAAATCTGCAAATTATAGATTATGAAAGATTAGAAAATTCTCTATAAGATAGAAATTTTAAATAATTTAATTTCGTAAAGTAAAAGGTCGAAAAACGCGACTAAAAGTGTTAAAAATTAAAACTTTTCAGTTAGTGGCCATTTTTTTCAATCGCGAATATCTCGTATACTAAAATAGATAAATTGAATCTGATCGCAGCGCCTTAATCTACGGACTATTCTCTATCAGATAGGATAGTTAAAAGGAAAATCTGTGAGATGAAATTTTAATTCTTAAGAAAAAATTGCCAAGGGGGGGTGCTTGATAATTTTTTTCGACGATTTTTGAAAATTAATATCTCTTTAACTAAAAGCGATAGCAACCAACCAATTGGTGATTGTGAAAGATTGGAAAATTCTCTATCAGATAAAAATGTAAAATAATTATATTTCCCACAGTAAAAGGTCGAAAAACGCGACTAAAAGTGCTAAAAAGTGACATTTTGCAATTTTTGCCCATTTTATTCAATCGCGAATATCTCGAAAACTAAAAGAGATAAATAAGATCTGATCGCAGCGTCTTAATCTACGGACTATTTTCTATCAGATAGGATAGTTAAAAGGGAAATATGAGAGACAAAATTTTAAGTCTTAAGAAAAAAATTGCCAAGGGGGGGTGCTTGATACTTTTTTTCGACGATTTTTGAAAATTAATATCTCTTTAACTAAAAGCGATAGCAACCAACCAATTGCTGATTATGAAAGATTGGAAAATTCTCTATCAGATAAAAATGTAAAATAATTATATTTCCCACAGTAAAAGGTCGAAAAACGCGACTAAAAGTGCTAAAAAGTGACATTTTGCAATTTTTGCCCATTTTATTCAATCGCGAATATCTCGTAAACGAAAAGAGATATTTAAGATCGGATTGCAGCAACTTAATGTACGGACTTTTCTCTATAAGATAACATAGTTAAAACGGAAATCTGAGAGATTAAATTTTAATTCTTAAGAAAAAATTGCCAAGGGGGGGTGCTTGATACTTTTTTTCGACGATTTTTGAAAATTAATATCTCTTTAACTAAAAGCGATAGCAACCAACCAATTGCTGATTATGAAAGATTGGAAAATTCTCTATCAGATAAAAATATAAAATAATTATATTTCCCACAGTAAAAGGTCGAAAAACGCGACTAAAAGTGCTAAAAAGTGACATTTTTCAATTTTTGCCCATTTTATTTAATCGCGAATATCTCGTAAACTAAAAGAGATAATTTGATAATTTTTTTCAACGATTTTTCATAGAGATTATCTTCCAAGCGAATGTTTACGATCTAAATTTAGGCGATTTTTCATGATTTATTCATCGATGTTGAAATTTCGGTAATTTCGTGTTGGCGCGCGTGTAATTAAAGTTAAATTAATTATTTATAGAAACATAGAGATCAGATCTACTAATGATGGAAGGCAACCAGATTTAATTAATTGTATAATCAAACTTTAAATTTAGTTTTAAACTAGTAAACAGTTGGAGAGAAATCCACACATGTCGTTTCTTACGTTTTTTAAAAGGTTTTAAGTGAACTCTATAAAAGAATGTTTCACTTTTTGATTTTTCAAAACACAAGAATATCTTAGACATTCTACTCTAAAATAATTTCATTTGCAATGAATCAGTGACAATACAAATAATATAATATTAAACAAACCGCGACAGACAAAGAAATAATTAACCGGAAGTATTTTCTCAACCGCACATTCGGTTATCTTTCCCCACATGTTTGAATTGCAGGAATGGCTAAGATTGCGCTAATTTATTTTGATTGTAACGTACTGTACGTGACGGTAAAGCCATTTTAAGTTGCGGTTTAAAGTGCTCTAATCCCGCTTACCATAATTTATTGCGCGCCGGGTCTCAACTTTTAAATGTACATAAACATATTTTGCATTATTTAGTTTGCTCGCGATTTAAATTCTAATTATCCAGCAGGGGCGGCAGTGTGCGACGTTAAGTATACGGGATAAATAACGCAAAGCTCACAGACTCGACGCAGTCTCAAATAGAAATAGAAATTACTGCAATTAGATGAGCAAAGATCTCAATATCAACAGAGAGCAGACGCGAATCAAATTATATGCAAGCGTAAAATCCACAGCATAAGTAATCAAGTTTAATTTTCCAACCTTAGGTTATCTCATACCGAGTAAGGTTATGTTGAATTGATTATTGGGTTGCCTATTATTAACATATGAATATATGAAGGTGTATTGCGTTCACACTCGGTAGAAATCAAATGCGGTGCAAATGGTTTGGGATAAGTGGATAATGCAGAGCGGCGTATTAGAGAACATAGCCATGCGGACTTTGGTTGCAAAACCGACAACACCACCGTACTAACCAGCAACCACTATCCGGGAGTCCGCCGGAGTAACTTAATAGTATAACCGAAACCATCAAGCAACAAATAAGTCTTAAATAACCTCCTCATGGCCGCACCCTCAGCAGGTTCAGCGTACATGTATCCGAGAGCACACACTGCGCGCTTTCCCAGCTTTCTGCACTTTGTGCCCGACATGCTCGTGTTTGAGTTACGCGAGTTACAATTTGCCACGGCCGCCAACAACCAGCAAAGCCGACCACTCCACTACTCCGCTGCGAAGAGTTAATGTCCTTGCGACGCAGCGGCATGCTTCATTTCGCACTCCAGGATGTGTGTCCTTCGATGTGGAGGTGCCTCGGGCTACATTACCATCAGCAGCGCAAACATATTTTAGGGCATGGGGTCACTGGAAAGAATAATATTACATGTTACAGTAATTAAATAATAAATAAAAAATAAATTTATGTAAAAAATTAAGTTAACTTAATCTAATCTAACCTAGTTTAACCTCAAAACTTTAAAAATTAATTTTTAGCCTTATTTTAAAAGGTATATTGTAAAGATTTAGTAATTGTGTGGTTTATAACTGTCAGTATATTCTGAGACAAGCATATGTTTCACTTTTGCTCGTACTTTCCACTCAGCTAGAAATACTCCATTACAGACACATCTAGTCACCACATTCTCGTTTGCCGTCCTCGCTTGTATCGTTATACAAATGGATCTGGCGCTGGATGCATGTGTGCGCAATACTAATTACTCTTTCATATAAACATAATTTAATTCATCGCTCCGCGCACTTACGATGCGAGTGCTTAAAGTAAACTTTTGTAATACAGAAATTAGCCGTTTCAGATTTAAATGTTGCTAAAGTATTGACATATAGATACAATATTGTTATTAAATTTCAAAGTGAGTTGTTTTGATGAAGCACTTAATTTCTTTTGCTTTTATACACTAAATTAGTTGGTAAGTCTAGTTTAATGACTTTAAACTTTACCATTCTTTTTGATTGCGCTAAGTGAAAGTCATCAATGCATAATGCGCAAGAATGAAATACGTTCTGGTCTGGCGTGGTTTTTTGCGTGCTTTGAAAATTGTTCAAAGTTTGTACGTCGAGAGGCAAAAAATAGCTTGAAACTTTCTATAATTTTTGTTGCTTTTCATTATTACATACTTCCATTGGAATCACTTAATGAAGAACTTTTTATGTGCTTAGCGTTCAAAGTGGTTACTACGTGCAGAGGACTTGAATAGACCTGGATTTTTATTTCAAGCCAGCGCGTGGATATCGTATGAACAGGGATTATGAACTCTGAAAGGAAGTTTTTCATTAAAAAATGCTCATATATTTATTAATATGCTGCCGAGTGGCTCTTTTTACGTCATAAAATATATTTAATATTGTAACTTAGTAACATTTATAACGAATTTAAAATGAACTAGCATGGAAGATAGGTTAGGTACACTTGTAACTCAAATATTAACAAAAAAATGTTAAAATTTTTGTTATAAATGAGTTTTTATATTTTTAAATCTTAAAAATGATTTATTACTAAAATATATTGTCATTAATTGAGTAAACCTTGATGTTGACTTATGCTTGCTAAAATTTATAGCACAATTTCGAACAATGCCCTCAGTGTAAATTTGTTCAATTACGGGAAACAAGCAAAACAACAGGTGGAGCTCGAAATTTCAGCTGGCGGCCGCTCTGCCGAAAAGTAAACGCATAAATTTCGTATTTAATCAACTACCACCCAAAGTGTCGCTTATTAATGACCGAGCACCCCGCGCTTAAACACACTTCAGCGAAAACCAATAAACGCTCGCCGCCGTTGCCGCCGCGGAGCAACAAACAAGTCTACGCTCTGTGCGCGCCCGCAAACGCATTAAGATTTATTAATATAGAATTGAATTATACGACGCGGCACGGGTCAGCGTAATCTTGCCAGGCACCGCGGGCGAATGATTCATTAGTTGCGTATGTGAACACGAAAACGGTACCCAAATTCATTGGTCTATAGGTCTAACATCGAAAGCTTTGCTTAGTTCTTGATTGCTTTCGATGTGGGAGACCCGAGAGTCCATTTAAAAGTCAATAGTTCAATAACTTAAATATTAATGCTACAAGTTGATGGGAAAGTGAGCAAAAAATAGAAATAGACGCGATGAAAAAAATATTTCAGACGTGAATGGAGTGCTGCTATAAATAAATCGAAAATGTAGAAATAAAATCGCCGCGCGTTTCATTGGATAATATTGTAAAGTATTAGGGTTGTAAAAACACGCTTCGATTTTAGGTTTATTTTTATGTTTGACCCTTTTTTTTCAGGATGTGATCGTAAATATAACTGTCAGTTTTCAGAATTTTCCTATTCATATCTCTAATGTGCTATAACTAAATTTTGATGTTTACATAAAATAGGTTATATTTTTAAGCTTTTTGTGTTGTTTTGGTTGTCTACAGTGATTTAAAAATATTTATTCCCGAAACAAATAAATCATTTATATTAATTAAAAAGCGTATCTCTCGGTTCCGGTAATTAGCACCCCTCCGAAAATGAAAAATCCACATCCATCAACGACACATTGAAAGAGTGCAAGAACGATGAGTGTTGCTTCGTGCAGAAGAAGCGAAAGAAGGGGATGTTTACAGATACCGCCGCGATATAGCGCTGTCAGCGAATCGGCGTCAGTAATGCTTCGGACGTCGCGACGCCCGTTGCTCGCATCGCGCCGCCGTCGACGCTAACCCTCAGCATACACACGTGTATGAGTGAACTATATGTGCGTGTGCGTTGATGGTAATCGACGACCTACAATACGCGAAGAACTAAAACAAAACTTGGATTTAACCGCGCGCAGCGTAAATATTTATCGGCAAACAACTTGCAAATATTCATACTGCCACTGTGAAGGTATTTAACGATCAATTATTTATTATTTTAATAAATTTTTGCCACAATCTTAATGGCACTGTTTTTATTCACTCAAAAATCGAAATTTAGCTTGCGATCGCAGTAAAATAAACAATTGCAACGGGTAGTAATCGTGCTTAGTTCGGATCGGCTGGCAATCAAGTAAAAGCTCGCGCGATGCTCGTCGCATTGATCTACTTGCAAGTCGAAACAATAATATTAGCAGAACCTCATTTGTTCACATGTCGACTTTGTTTACATTCATACATATACTCTAGATAAACAGTTCGTTGACATGTCGTGTCACTCAGTCAAAAATTCATTTTAATAATATACAGCCTGCTTAATTGCGGAAATATATAGTGATTTTATCTCTGAGCTTGTTTTTGTACGCGTAGATATAATGAAAATTGCAGAAAACAATTAAAGTTTACGTCTTGCTCGTTTACTCCTCGCTTCTGCAAACATTGCCAACTGTTACACATGAACTCGACGTTGAGGGGTTTTCAATTTAAGCACAGCTCGATGATACGCACGCTTTTCGAATGGATCCGAGATGTTAAATGTTAAATGGAAATAGTTAATTTCCATCTCTGTTGTGTGGATGCCGGCGGGGGTGGCGGGCACACACATACACTAGCGCACATTTATCATGACCTTGTTTGGGTGGCTTTGTGTGCGGGTATGTCGGTGTGCGCGAAGTAAATTTCTATGCAAACAACGCCTTCGAGTGTAGTACACGCGTCGAGAGTTTGGCTTATTTCTTCTGCGTTTAGCGTTTAGCATTTTAGCGTTGCGGCATTGCGGGGTTGGGGTTTTGACTCTTGGAGACTCCACGGTTTTGCATTTTAGGGTCGGTGCGGGCGCAAACATGAGCTAAATGGAATAGAATATCGAGGAGCGGCTGAATAACTTTAGTAGTTATTACATTGTTATAATACACGTCGTAATATTTTGCTAATTTCGATGATTTATTAAAGCGGAATGAACTGTTCTTGCGCCGAAGAAATTAAATATAAATGTGAGGGGTTTTGTTGAAGACAATTATGATTTGTTTTGTTAAAGTTGGAAAATTTATACCAAAACAACAATGAAATTATTTTAGATATAGAAATAATACCGAATTTGCCAATCAATTAATTAAATATTGGTTTATATCAATAATCAGAATCGAAAAAGTAAATTTATGGATAAATTAAATGTAAAAATCAATATTTTATAAGTTCTGTTATCGTTTTATCAACAAAACCAATCAAAATTTCTTCAGTTATTGAGAATTTTCTTCAATTTTAAATCAGAAAATCATGTAAAAAGTAGCGAATTTTTGATAAAAAGTAAAAATAAATGAAAAAAAGTAAAAATTTGCACTTAAAAACATTTCCTGAGAATATTTTTCATGTTTTTACTAAAAAAAAAACTATCCTAAAATGAAATTTATATGTATTTCCTAGGTAACTACCCCATAATACAAAATATCGACAAAAGTTGATGTTTCTTTTTCTATTTTAAATCACAAAATCATTTAGAAGGTACCAGAATCTTCCATTTGAGCTCGTTCGAATTGCCCATTCTTTACACTCCAATTTTTCTCCGCACGTTGCCTTAAATCCTTAATGCCCCGAACTGCTTACCCGCGCGCCGTGCTTCCTTCCCTCTTGAATCTTTATGTATTTGGATAGTTTATGTCTGCAGCAAATCTCGCCGCCATAAGAGAACGTAAACGTCAAATAATTCATTTCGCACCTTTCCGACGTCTCCGACTCCCGACCCTTGATTTACTTTTACGATATACCGAATGTTATGCTCGTACCGCTCGCAAACTGCTTTAATTCCTCAGCAAAACCGAAATTGAGGCAATGAGCAGGTTTATGCTCGCACCTGAGTTGTGTAACGTATGGTGTACCAACAAAAATCAATTACACCGCAATATTTGCTGCCTGGCTGCTCCACCAACACCACTTTCAGTTTGTGTAAGCTGTCATTGAAATATTCAAGCAGTTCACCTTGTAGTGAACCTGTAGAAAGCTGGAAAATGCATCCGCTATTCCTGCTCACACACTCACAGCGGTCTCTTGTGTACCTACCTTGCATAATCCGTGCTGCAATATTGTCTCATTTACATTTCCGTTTCATATCCGCGCTACGTCTTCCATCCTGAGCTAATCTAGAGCGCACCGCCAACGAGTGCCAAGTCAGCGCGTCGACGGAATGGCAGTTGGAAAATGCCCAAGTAGTTCTTCTTCGGCGGATAACTCGCGTGGCCCTCGGCTCGCGTGCATTTGGCAGGGTCTCTTATTAGAAATTGTGGAATAGTCGAAATGCGGAACGCGCCTGAATGGCGAGATTGCGACGAGGGTCTGCGCGGGCCCGGACAGACAGTGCCTTTTTGTGCACCCCGCGGCCGGAAGCGGGTAGGAAAACGGGAAGCACGGGAAGCGTTCTGTTCGTGCGAGCGCGCAACAGAGCATTCAATTGCTCCGGCGGCGAGGATGCGAAATGAACGCGCGAGCGCGCGACGTGCGCAAAGAATGCAATCCGAACGCATACTTCAAAGACTTTAAAACTTGCAAAGAGAAACAATCGGAGGCGAGTGCATTTGAATAGATGTGGGTCATGGCTTTTTACAAAATTACACCTTGAGGTGCAGAAACATCATAAATTCTGATTAATTTTTAAAATTGTAAGATTTTCGCTAAGAAACTAAACTATTTTGAAGTTATGATAGATTTGTACATTTAGTTAACCCAACTTACGACATCTTTTTAAACTTTTATATGTGTTATGAAAAGAACGATGACAAGTAATTATTTTTAATGAATTAAAACTCTAAGGTTTTCATGTAATCCATCAAAATGCCCGCTTTCATTCCTTCGCTATTCCAGCTACTCTGACAGATAGCTGCTATATAACTAATTCAGACCGCCTTCCGTTCGCTGTTCTCGTGAACTGAAACTAGGCACGAGCCGAAAGTCAGAAGAGGGATTCATAAAACTGTTGTAAACTTAGTTAAATAATGAAGACGTATGCAACAGACTAGGGCATTATACGCTCACAAGTCATAAAGGAGTCTACTCGTCTGACAAAGACAAAGCTGTCTGAGCATGTCGTCCTTCCGGCGCGGGACGACCTTTATAATGTGACAGGAAATGTTGATTAGGTCAGGTTTTTCATTTAAACCTAACTCCGAACCGCTAAAATCGTAATAACATCGTTAACTGATTTAACAAATTGTCCTACATAAAAGATTTAATTTTTAATTACTTGCAAGTATGTAAATTTTGATAATTCCGGATTGTTTTGCACCGAGAGGTCGAGGCGAAGTGCGGATGTGAAGTGCAACGAAGATTAATTCGCCAATAATTAATGATCGCGCATCATTAATATTAATTTCTATAATGCACCATCATTCGAATTGCGAATCGGAAAACATGAATTTATCATGTGGCGTACGACGGCGGCGCAAAACAACAAGCCAAAACAACAACTATCGAAATTATGTGTGCTTCCGACGCGCCTCTCGAACTTGCTCGTTAATATCTTCGCGAGCAGTTCGATGCGATTTATCATAGTTCATCTGAGGCGCCAGTGCGCTCGATTGTTGTGCCAGCAATCCAGTAAAGCCCTTGGAGTTTCCAGCGTTAAGTACAATTTACAATAGGTTAATAATTAATGAATTCAGTGCACGAAATCAAAGAAAATATTCTTTTAAAATTGTTTAAAATTATTTTAACTTTGTTTAAAATAAAAAGTAAAGTAGTATCTTGAATTGTTTGCTCTTTATGCAATAAAAACTTTTAAAACCCAACAATTTTGCACCTCTATGTGAATCGCGCGGAAGAACTTGAGAACATGAGAGCGCAGGAATGCATCTTACACGAGACGATTGTCTGTCGTATTGTTGTGGACGACTTGCACGCATCGTCAGCAAAAATATAAGGACTGCACAATATTGCAGGATATTGTAGTACGTATATAGAGAGTGGTGTGCATTTTCTTACGATTGTATTTCTTACTCTTACGATGCACCACGCAAATGTGCACAAAGCTTCAAGAGCCGCACGAATATATGAACACGCGCTCCGGCGAATAAGACGAGAGGAAAACACAAATAAAGCGCCTGAGTTGCACGGTTTCGCCTTTCCAACATTTCCAGCATTGAATGTTAAGTGCCTGCACGTTTGAAGACTTTGTTCGTTGTGCTTCGAGATGCGCTGCAGCTTGCATGAAAATTGAATGAACTCACGAGTCGGAGCTTTTGAGCTGATGATAATTAAAAGCTGGAATTTCTTTCGTTAAATATACTCGAGAATTACACCCGAAATTCTCAGTTGTTATTCTAACATTTCAAAAACTTTTCAACATAAAACTAATATTAAATCATTCATGAAGAATGAAATATATCAAGAAATAGTGCATAGATATTCCTCAATAAATTTCGTAGTGATAAAACTTTCAATGCACTATTTTATTTACTATCTGCCGTAGAGGATAAAATCTATTATTATATATAATGATTAAAAATTCAATAAGCTGAACTCTGCTGACGCAGGCACTATTTAAGTTGGGCTGAATAAATAATAATCGCTGCAGGATGCGCTCATAAACCAAGACTTCATTTATGATTCAATTTTCGCTTAATTTCTCAACGTTTTCAACATTTTAGGGGCTCGTGATCCAGTTTTAACACGCTTTTTACGTCCGTCTGCTCGTGGCGTTAACTTTTCAACTTGCCTCATATATTCTGCATGCTGCACCCAATCTCGTGTTTTCGTTACAGCGTCTTCAACTTTTGCCTTTTACTACGTTGGAAAAATTTATATTTAAAGTTTAATACAATAGTATTAGCAGACCTCACACGTTAAAAACAATTTAAAAATTTGTTATGAAATCAATTCACAACACAAATAAAGTTGTAGGTTAGAACGGTTGTTAATCAATGCGCTTGAAAATTTGTTAGAAAAGTTTGCTGAATACTCACTTCAATACCACGCCAAACTTGCAAAATGTATAGTTTTGATGTACACTTTAAACTTCTTCACACTAATTACATTTTAATGTATTGTTTCAATTAACACTCGCTTAATTTTAACACAACAGTAACAATGTTACAAAATTTTCTTGAATCTAACCGCAACGCCAACTACCGCAACAAACCGAAATGAACATAATTTTGAATATTTGACCCGCGATTGCAGCGCCGCCTGCCGGGTTGAATGTAAAACATTCTAGAATCAACAACAATTTATAAATTTAAACAATTATTCACCAACTAAGTCACGAAAGTATGTAAAAATTGTAACCATATTATATACTTGAATAATGCGTGTTGGAATTACCATAATATTTGGCTTTGAATAACTTTTGTTTCAATTTTCACTCAGTCAAAGTCACGCTTGGAAATTTTATTATCAACATGTTACCAACTTGAGAATAACGCATAGAGATATGTGGAATGCAGAAACTGCGTGCCAGTAATTCAATTATAGTTGTTGTTAGTATCGCATTCTGCGATATTGCTAACAGGGAAAAGTTTTAAGCCCTCTGGCAAGGATCGAACATACACGCGACGTCGCTTTTGAATGAATTTAAATATTAATGGATTTAATAACGAACCGAAACGAATACTCACTATGAATACCCGTATTATTATCAGATGCGTGATTAATTGTAATGTATTGATTGTATTATCTATAACGAATGCTTTCATATATATTTCTGAAGTTTTTACGAGTTGTGAAATTGGAATTTTTACGACATTCCAACTTCCAACACTCAATATAAAGCGTTGAATTTCATTTTTTATTCGTGCGAGCTCGGTTTATTCTATATTCCATTTTATATTTTATATTTGAAGATGCGCACGTAGTTTCGGGGCCAAGTTGCGACGTCGAGTGCGTCCGCCTACTGAAATTGCAGAAACTTTCCCGAAACTGCACGCCGGAAAATTGTAATACGTGCTTCTAGTATTCTATAAACTCGACGCTGGCAAGCCAACCTGAATGTCTATTCGAGCAAGACCTGCTTGTGTTTCGTGTATAGAAAAATAATCCCAGAATCTCAAACAAATGCGGGCGCATTTCAACTCTAGAAAATTTCACAAACATCAAAGTTGGAAACAAAGATTAAGTCAATGTTTAGTCTAACATGCTCATGTTGCTGCGCGTAATTGAAAAAGTGCTTCGACGTATTCGTAATTGGAGCTAATTTCTTGCTTGTAATTTTCTTCGCGTGCCACATTTGAACCGCAGACGAATGCACTCCACGATTTCACGCTTGTTTTAAGAGACAACACGTAGTTGAACGTATGGTGAACTAGGTCAGAACATAATACACTCTTCAGGGCACACCGAACTTCTGCTTGGAAAACATTTTTTAGTACTTGCCGGTTTTATAGCCCCAAGTGCAACATTCTCCGATTGCTTCGTGTCGAATTTTGAGAGAGTTGAAACAGAAATTGCCTTTTAAATTCGTTAACGGGAATAACTACTACTTCTTTTGATAGGATACTATCAAAATAGGATGCTTTAGAAATATTGTAATTTTATACATAACCAAGAGATCAGAACAAACTGCAAAACGCGCGTAACGGTGTTTTTGACAGTTGACTTACAGCGCCACCACACATGAAATATCACGTTTTATAGAACTAAAATTTAAATTTGACATTTTTATTGTCATAAAAACGAGTTTTTTATATTTTGAGTCGTAAAATGGAGATTTTTGTAAGATTAATTGCCCGTTCTTATATTATTAATTAGAATTTCTAATGAAGGTGATTCTTGCTTTTCTATAGGTCGCAGATTTTAAATGTACGTTGCGTTTTGCGAGCGTAAAGAATGAATTGACGAATCAAAAGTCGTGGCGCAATAAAACTCGTCGCAAAGTCCATTTCCGTGCTCTTGAAGACGTCGCCTTGCGCCGGAAAAAATAAACGAAAGAGCAACGACAACCAGCAGCCGAAATTAAATTAAATTGCAATCGCAGGCATTAAAACTCACGCTCGAAACATAAAACAAGTTGTTTTTGCAAATAAAATATTTTTTTTTGGTTAAAAATATGAAAATCTGTTTGCGTGCCGCATCGCATTAAGTTTTAATAGACTCAAACGCAGCTAATGGAGTTTATTTAAATGATTAAACTTTAAACTAAGCTTTCAATTATGAAATTAAAACTTTCATCGATTGGATGATGATGCTTGAGAATGGCTAATGCGCTCGCAGGCTCAACTTTATAATCCTCCGCAGTGAAAATTCCAAAGTCAATCAACTCCGCGAGATCACCCCGATTAACTATTATGGAATTACTAATACCGAAGAAGTTAATAATTCATGAATAATTCCATTCTTTCCGGCGTGGGACGGAGGGCACCTTTGTCTGCTCAATAATTTATGATATCGCCAACAGCGTAATGACGCAGTCGAACATCAATTACTAATTATTTCTAAAGGCTTTCAAAAGACTTCCAAACGTGTAATTAATAAAAGCCGTTAAAGGAACTTTTATTTCTCCCAAGGTAGCAACATTCACATTCAACAAAAAAAGACCAGAACTTAATGAAATCTATTTTTACATCTTGTTGGCATAGGGATGAATGAATGTAAGAGCTAAATATCTCTTTGTAAATCTCTTATATCAATGTGTTTAAATTTAAACACATCGAGTACATGCAGCCGCATTAAGCTCACGACACATTAAAGAATGTCGGCACTTTGCACCATTGCTACCGCCGCGTGTTAATTTTCTATTTTCATTTTATTATTTATTTAGAATCGCGGCTCGCTTTATCCGTTCTTTGGTTGCGACAAGTCCAACACTTCCAGGAGTCATGTATCTGTTATGTCGAGTTATTTAGCGGGGAACAAAAATGTTTTTGACTCAAACGCATAAAGTTTATTTTTATTGCTTAAGTAAGTTGAAAGATATTAAGCTTTTAAGCGTTTAACAAGATGATTTACGGCTTGCATTAGGGTTTTACATTTGAAAATGTTGAGAAAATGAAATATTTAACACAAAAATTTTTGAAAATTTGGCTTTTACATTAATTTATAGGAAATAAATGGGTTTTAGTAGTGGTAGAGTATTTTATTGTGATTATTAGAAATAGTAATGGAAATCAAGTAAAATTTACATTTTGGTTGGTTGGAAACTAATCCAGAATCTGGTAATATCTCGAGGGCTGGGTGCAATTATACTAATTCGATTAACGTTAATTAACCCAAATGATCTTCCATGAGTCGAGGTCAAAGTTTTATCGTTGTTACATCTGGTTGAAATTTCCGCTCATTTTCCCCGGCTCTAAATAGAAATAAAATTATTTCAACCATAATATGAAATAATATGCAATTTTTTTATAAAATATTTAATTATTCCCCAAAAACACTCTGTATATTAGTCTAAAATAACCGTAATTCGTAAGTTTTGGAGTTTAGTGTGCTAATTCTGACAGAGCATGATTCGTTTCTTGATTTCCACTCGGATCCATTCGCAAATCTGTAGATTTGCTGAGTAACGTCCAAGATGAGCGAAATATGGCGGCAGTCAGTCATGGAATGGCGGCGTGCGGCACATGGAAGTAGTTGGGTGCTAATGCTGATGCTCGAAATGTTCGGGTCGGATTAGTATTATTACTTAATTAGGATTAATTATTATCCCTTGAGTCGACGGCGCGTCTTCGTTTCGCCCGCGCGCGATAATTCATGTTTGCAAATAGACAGGCGCTCTCGAGCAGTTTCGAGCACTGCAAGAAAGGAATTCGTGAAGCTTCCTCAACGCGCATTTCGAATTCATACTCGAGCCCATTTAGCGCACCGGGGGCGGGCGCGCCGCTTGGCAAATAATTCGTAAATGAGGGGTTTGCGAGATATCCGCGAACGAGCGCGACGTGATTTATACTTGTGCATCGCGCACATACCGGAAAGGTACTCCGGGAGGCGCATAATGTGCTTTAATCAACTCGCCACGGATTCGCCTCTCTTGCCCCTGGATCCAACCACCGCAACGGGCGCTAATTGCAAATTCTGCCCGATGATTAATTCATTGCTAATGTGGTATTAATTGCATACGTTTTTTTTCTTCCTCTGCTTTCAGACTTTCAGAAAAACCCGGAACTGCCAGCAGGAGGTGAAAAATAATGGGAGCGGCCTTGGTAGAAGTCGCTATTTGAACTGACGAGGGTTTCCAAAGGCAGGAAAAACACCAGGCAATGATGGTTCGTGTTGCAACGTCCGTCAATCATGTCGTTCTGTTGTTGATGGTCATCAATCTCATCGCAATCACGAGTACGACTAAATTTTATCATGGATTCCAATCAGGTAAATGCAATCAAAAACTATCAGTCAAATTTTAGTACATTTATGCGTGTGGAATTTTGCGCAAAACGTGTTTTTTGCTGATGAGATGTCAAGACGTGTGCAATATTTCAACATTGCGCAGTAATTTTGTTAGTGGTATTTTATATATATGAAATTGAGTATGCATGCAAAAAGTGTAAGCGTGCGGGGGCGACGACGCGCATCGCCGAAGACTCGAAAGCGCAATGAGCGAAGAATATGAATGGGGGGACACCGCCTTGCGCATTAACAAGCAAGGCGTGTATCGTGCGTAAATCTTCTGCAATGTGCACCTGTTTGCTGTCATCTTCATTGCTTTTCTTACAAATGTTGCATTCACTTCCATCCCAACCGAATCTGTCTATTTTTACTTATATTTATTCAACATTTAGTACTATGAATCATAATTCCTCAAGTGAAGAAGATTATTCCTGCATAAATTTAATTCGGTGCGTAGGTAGGTGTAAAATTCGTTAGTTGGGTTTTATGCTCATAAACAGAATGGATTTATGCAAGTACAGGGCGCAAGCCGTGCGTGAAAAACGAGATGCAGAATTGGCACATACAGCGTGCACGAAGCGGAAATATAACCGTCGTATATTACGAGCGATACTTGTAAAACCCTCGGTTTAACCGTGGGATATAAGAAGCCGAGCGAAATAGAGAGCATCGGATGGTATTATAGGATGTAAAGAACTTCGCTTCGCTTTTATGTTATGAAAGAAAAAAAACCTCCTCGACGTTATGATTCTGGTTGACATATTGGCGTCACGTGCGAGGAAGGTTTTCACTGATCCGGCGAATTTTCTCTCGGAGACCATTCCCACTATTTTTAGATATTCTTTTCGATGGCTATTCTTCGGACAGCATTCCTAGCTTCTATATTCCTAGCTTTGCAATCTGGATTCATACCCTTCTTTTGATTTTATTTTTTTTGATTTTATTTGAAATAAAATAAAATTTTAACAAGTGTGAAGTGTTAAAAACTTGTATGGGGAGATGGGACGTGTAGATGTGAGGTACAAAATGAAGACCCATCGATCTTCTGCTTCTGGTGTTGTTATTCATACGCGTGTTCTAAAATTTAAGGCCGCCGGGCATTTCTTCAAACATTTTTTACGCGTCCGCGACGACAATGTTATAAAGTGTGATATAAGAAGTGACGATAAAATGGGGGACAGCAGGATGGTTGCATGAGGAGTTATGGCGTCGCCGTGAAGTATGGACGCAATGGGGACTGGAAGATGGAAGGTCGCGGTTTTTATTTGCGACTAGGGCCAGGAGGGAACTGTGCCCATGCTTTTCATGCCTTCAATAAAACATTTATTAGTTTCCTATTTTACGCATTGTAAAATATTACATGCGATATGTTTTGATATAGGTATATTCAATACATAACCTAAAATATATTTTAGGTTGTGTTTTGTGCGTTCGTAAATAGTGATGGAATTGAAGTGTAACGCAACAAATATTACGGACAATTACTCGAGCACGGCGACAGCCAAGATGCAGAAACGCGTGTTTTAGGACAAGTTAAATGGTGAAGACGAGTTTATGTACTTAGTTTAAAAGTTTTCCGCTCTTTCGTATTTCCGCTTCGCTGATGCTCCACAAAACCAAAAACGAGCAAGTCTTCCAAGCAATGCCATCAGAGAAGTAAATATATAGTTAACGTCTGGGGTCGAGCCAGCCAACGAAATCAAGGAAAAGTGCCGAATGTCTTGTATTTACATACAGGGTGTTTAAAAACATAAAATTTTATAAAAATTTAAAATTTTTGGTTAAAAATCTAAAAAATTTAATAATTTTTTCTCCCAAAATTGTAAAAAAATAAAAATAAATTAATTTAAACTAAATATTTGTTAAATTTAGTAGATACAATTAGTTTATCTTAAAAAAATGAATATTTTATGTAAAATTAAAAGTTTTCTTGTATTATCTGTATATCTTAAGCCGAGGTTGCACTCAGCGAACAGGAAATATAACAAGAAACATCGGCTAACTACTAAACTACCATAAAAGTTAAATAGGGACACTAATATCGCCCGCGCGGCTGTGCTGGGCGTAGTCCTGCGAAGCGAGAGGACCCTCGTCTCCAGCGCCACTTGCTGCTGCTCTCAACTTTCATCTCGGTGGTGAAATTTACTCAACCAGACCGAAACCCAAACTCGAAGAACCGAAAAGCGACGCGGGCGACTCCAACTTCTTGGATACGAAGAAGACGCTCGCTCGGGTCATGAATCTAATTAATCCATGAGTTAATGAACAACACACCACAACACATTCTAATAAAATTCCTGCTTACGGTTAAAATATCACTCGAATCTATTTGGGATTACAAGCGAAATGTATGGAATAGATTTTACGAAATCTGGAAAAGTTCAGCGTTCAGCAGTTTTTATAATTCTTCTTTTAGAGATTCGAGATTGTGTCTCTCCGACCGATACTTGTTGGTCGTCGTTTTTTCTTTCTGTTTCGCTTGTGTCTTGTGTTTTCTGGAAACAATGTATGTTTTCTATTCGCATGTGTTGCTCGTCTTGCTTTGGGCATCCTTTCTTTGCAATAATGTCGGCGTCGGCTGGCTCTACGAATTTCGGGTCGTTCCCAAATTCTCGTATTGCAAGATTGTAACACATGCATGTACACAACGGCTTTCTATCCGAGGGGAGATGCCTATAGGATGCTATAAATTTTTCTTTATTTTTTCTTTCTTTTTTCCATTGTTTCCATACTTTATACATCGTCTAGTTTATTCTTTGGCAACTTATGTGAAATACTTGCTAAATTCTATAAACCGCGTTTAAAATAAATGAAAATTCAATATATATTTTTACAAATAATTTATTATAAATATCTTGTGTTGGTGTTTAAGATTGCTTTGTGATAACAAAGTTTTTTTTGTAAATCCAGCAGAAAAAAACCCTTTGCATTCGCATATCTCTCCTGCAATGTCACGAGACGTTCGGCTTTGTTTTTATTTCCGAACGCCTTTTCTGCGTATTACGTTCCGTTTCCCGTTCGCATACATTTTTCCTCGCCAGCTTTGTGCGCACTTTCAAAGGCCTCAAACAACGCGCACCCTTTCCACTTCTTCGTGCAGCCACCAGCACTCGACTCGACTGTTAGTTTTGTCGACGACGTTTGATGCTCTTTTCGGTTATCTAGCCCATTCTTTCTTCGGCATTAAATTGGATCGAATATTTATGCGTCGCGCACACATCGCCCGCTTTTCTTTATTCATGCAACTTGTTACACACCGCGCAAACAGAGATAAAATAACCACCGCCACTCGGCTAAAAAGCATATGAATTCAGCCTGGTGGCTGGCGGGGTGTGAGAAAGTTGAGGGTACAATGTTAAGACCACCGCCTTAACAAAAAAAGCGCACAAACGCAGCATTTACATACGGAAATAGACGCGCAAACGCCACCGTCGAAACGTTAACAACAAAGAGAGCAAAACGAAATGAAAATAAACGAATAAACAAACTTTACGAGTGGCAATTTGCATTCGCGTATTGCCGTAACAACATTACTGGAGTGTGGACTTGTAGTCAATGCTGGAGTTCTTTGCCAGTTACATATTTGTTCAAATATTTTCACGAATAAAGTTAAATGCGACGTTTTTAAATGTTTAAGATGATAAAACATCCAACTTGAATCTTTGTTTCCATTCAGATTTCCCTTCAGCATTTATTTCATGTTTGCAGTTATTTGTCGTTTGGTTGTTTTATTTGTTTGCAGTTTAAGGTCTTCTCGTCTTCGCTCTTTGCCGTCTTTCGAGTATTATGTGCTTTGCGGTCGACGCGGACTTCATTTAAATAAAATTTTAAGTTTTATTGCAAATTGCGAGCAAATACTTTTTCCCCAGCAGCGCTCTGAAATAATACCGTGTGGGCACCAAAACAAATACACTTTTAATGCGCGTCGCCTCTTGTTATCTCCGAGGACTCCGCCTGCAGCGGCGAAGAAAACAATAACACGTTTTACCTAACAAGAATACCACCCCGGCCAAGTTAAATCACAAGTTAGTCGTTATTATGCCGCGGCCGTAACTTTGCGAAACAAGCGAAACAAGCAAAGAATGTAATGCGATGCCAGTTGTATGTGCAAACCGAAGTTTGCTTTTCTAAAGCAACCAACTTGTTTGTCTGTCGCGGCAACTTTCTGGCGCGGCATATAAATGTTTATTGTTTAATACTTTGACAGTTTATTGCTGTTTTATTCCGAGCAGTACGCGCGTAGTTTTAATTTAATTTATTCGCGGTGCCATTCATTGAAACAATGACAAACATTAAAGTTGTCTCCGTTCGGGGTTGCGCGTTGCACTATTCAGCTTGTAAAAAAGTTTGCAGCTTGGAGCGAAAAATTGTTCGTATCGGGTTGAGTTATGTATCGAATTTTTTTATGCGACATGGAAAAGGCAGGAAAACACGTTTGGTAAATTACGGGCGTAAGGGGTGAAGGGACTTTGATGCCATTCAATGTTTCACCATCGACAAAGATCTACGACTTGGTTGGCAGACCTAAAAGTGCAATTATTATTAATGAATTACCTATACGTTCGGAACGCTGGCGAGTTCCTGTATTAACTCTTTCTTTATTCAAAGAAATTGGTGGCGCGCCACGCGAAAAAACGCTTTGTGTTTATTTCCAACGTCGCTGACATCCGGTTTTTTAATTTGTAGCACACGCGGACAACTTATAAAAAAACTAAAAAGAATTTACTAAAATTTTCTTGTTTTTTGAATAAAAAAAAAAAAACAAAAAAAACAATTTTTAAAATTTAATTCACAGATAATATAGAATTTCGAGCAGAAAGAAGTATTGATGATGCCAAACCAAGTGAAACCAGAAAAAATGTTGAGAAGACAAATGGAAAAGTCTTTGACAAGCAGGGAAGTGAAAAGAACAGTCGATCAAATGTCTTCCACTGAGAACTCAACAATCGTCTGGGCGCAATTGGTGGCACCGCGTCATTACCATGCGTGGTGAAAAAATAGTGGAACGGTAAGTGCTTTGGAGTTTGCTACAGTTTATTGATCTGTGCGGTGTGTTTGACATGGTTTCCTGATGTTATTTGGAGCTGTGTGTGCACTCAGGTATTGTGGCTACGTCAATGGCCATCGGCGACGCCGTCGACGCTGCTCTCCGTCGGCGTCAGCAAGCACACTGCCGACGATCGCTATTACGTCGAGCACATTCGCCACTTGCAGAATTGGGGGCTCGTCATTAAGCATGTGCACGTCGAGGATGAGGGTGTCTACAAGTGTCAAGTTTCCACGCATCCACCGACCATTATCCTCATTCATTTGAAGGTTACCAGTACGTATTTTGAGTAAAATTACAAATCAATTTTCATCATGATGATATTTCAATCACCTGGAATCCGGACGTGTCCCGGATTGATTACGTGTGATTTTATTAAGCGATTTCTGTGCGCAGAAGCCTACGCGGAGATCTTGGGCGCGCCCGATTTGCATCTGCGTGCCGGTTCCACACTGCACTTGGCGTGCCAGATAAGGCAGTCGACCGAACCGCCCGAGTACGTGTTCTGGTATCACGAGGACAGGATGATCAATTACGATGCGGGCGTGCAGGCGCTGACTAATTCGGCGTCGAACGTCCTAATCGTCCCGGACGCCGACAAATCGCACGACGGCAATTACACTTGCAAGCCGTCGAATGCCGTGCCGGCGCACATCAACGTCCACGTGCTGAACGCCACCGAAGGTAAGACCCTCATTGCCGACCCGTCCCGTGGGCACGCCACAGCATTCCCAGACGTTTCGCGGCGCGCAATAATTCAATCATGTCAGGCCGTCGACGTCGGTCCTTATAATTGTAATGATACCATCGTCATTAGGTACAACGTTTAACGTTTCACTGCTTTAGTTTAAGAGAATGTTTACTGACTGGGAAAACTTTCCCGCATTTTGAGATTCATTCTCAAGGTAAGACTAAAAGGTGTTTTTGTGATGTTTGTTTACAGAGGAGAATCCGGCGGCCATGTTGCATGCAAATGGAGCTTCCATCATCACAATGGACCTCTTCAACCACATCATTATTACAATGATGAGCATATTCATTGGAAGAGTATCCAACAGTTGAATAATTCACTATTATAATAAAACTTAAATAAAAAAATAAAAAATTAAATTTTGAATGGAAAAAAAGTGATATGATGATATGATGGACATTAGAAATGTCGGAACGTAATCATAAATTTTAGTAATTACAATATCTATACAGTAATCTATCTCATTACATCTCTTTGGAATCATTAATGGCTTAATGGTAATAAAATGATTGTATGTAGCATTATAAATACAGAAAGCCATTTAAAAATGATAAAATTTAAACAATTTAATACTTAAACGGATTTATAAGGGTTGGAATCCATAGTGAATGATAATGATTTTATTATACCAAGGAAATAAACATAATTATTTTTGTAAAATAAAATATGTACATATTTAAACTATTTTTATCCTGTTTTGTACTATGTATCGTTTGTGATTTATTGAAATAATTAAAGTGTAAATTTATTATTCATAAATAGGCTAACGTTAATACAGAGAATTATAAACAAAGCATCATTCATTTATTGTGTGTTTTATATTATTTCCTGAATAAATTTCCACTCAAACACAGAATGCTCGCATCCAGACAAACATAAAAATCATTTTGGGTGTTATTGTTTTGTTGCAGAACTCTTTGATATCGCTGCAAATTCAAAGAAAGCTCAATTGATATTCAGCATTCGTTTTATTCAGTTCTTCATGCTTCGTTTGCACTCGCCGCACTGTTCCTCTTGTGTATGTGTGCTTTTTTTGCTCTTCTGCATGATCAGGAGCGGTAGCAACGCACGGAATTGGAAGAATCGTCAAGTGAGTCCTTGACCCGGACTCGAACGGAATAAATAAATCGACACTCGAATATATTACACTTTTAGAGGTCCTGCAATCCTGCGGTTTGTTGGCCATGGGTGTTGGCTTTATTTGCGCGCAAAAAGGTAAGTGGATGAAAGGATGAAATCCCAACACGCGTCTACAGACATTCGCTTAATAAATAATTAAACAAAGCTTTTGTGATTAATCTTGGATCTGGACATTTTTCGTCGAATCTTCTTATAAATTAAAGAAAGTTTTAGTTGAGTGCATCTCTTCGCGTTTCACTTGTTCGTATTTTTCTTTGGCCGGAAATTTGGAAACTTTTTCTTTTGTTAATTACGAAACTCATTCACTTTGGTTTGTGTTGTTTATTTGCCAAGACGTCGAAAAACTGAAGGGGCTAGTCCCCAAACACCTCTGTTTTCTTCTTCGTTAGGGGAAAAAAATAAATCCAGTGCTGATCTAGATGTCACATAAATGTGACGTGATAATTGCACTGCAGTAAACCATTAAGGATCGAAAATGTAATCCGGAATTGTGCGGAATTTCAACGCTGAGAGCTTTGCACTTTATTGTTGCAGAAAGTGAGGTCTCGTGCGGGAAATTGCCGATCGCAAGGCGCGCCATAAAGCTGTATTGTGATTGTGTCAACTTTTCCAATAATAGCGGATTTTGCAAGTTGCACTAGCGTGGCGCGGCACAAAGGCAACGGGTAAAATAGTATGAAGAATGCAATTCGCGTTTCGGTTGGAAAGCGCCGCGGAAAATTGAATCTCGTAACACCTCACTAATGCGATGGTGCAAGGCACGCTGACAAAATATTTCAAGTGCATTCATTCAATATGCAGGCGCTACTACAAAATATGATTCATTATATTATGCAACTACAAAGATTTAGTTTCTAAAAAAAGTTAAAAAAACAAAAAATTAAAATTTTACTTACAATAACCTTAAAAATCCTAAAAATAGGTTACATTTTATTCCTAATGCAAATGCGCATGCGCAATTAGAACAAATAAGTTCAATGTCACAAAATTCATACTTTGACACGTATTTTTTATCAAATAGTGCACAAATTGCAATACGTAACCCACTTTAAAAATTATAAAACATAATTTAATGTTGAGCTTCATGTTTTCAAAAAAATACCCGAACATGTTTGATAATTATGTAAAATTCACTCAATATTTTACCACAATTTAATACAAATTACTAATTATCCGTCCTATACGCCATTGAATTTACATTTTATCTTGTATTATCACATTTTAAATCAACGCATATTCATGAAAAAATATACAAATTTTCCCGAATCGTATTTATTCACTTGTATATAAGATTTTTCCAAAGAACAAGTCCAATAGTTGTGAATGATCTGCCTACGAGTATCAACAACATGGTACTTATTAAATTATATTAATCATAAATTCTATAAATAAATGTGATTTTTTTCAGGCTAGACTCACAATTGTTGTTGCAGCAATTGCTGTGTTGGCCCTCTCGATGCCAGTAGTTGGCCAAGGGGGATCAACAGGATCCACCACGGTTACGGTTAATCTGGGTATTGCAAATGCCCTCACAGGCGCGATTTCAGGAACCGCCAATCTCCTCATTGCGCTAATCAACAACATGGAAACAATTACGAATGTTATCATCAGGGAATTCAGTGTTACGCTGTCTTTTATTTTGACCAATTTTCGTGAAGCCGGAAGTATGATCTATTCCAGTGTTATGTATGTCGTTGGCAGTATTGGGAGTACCATCAACACACTCATCACAGAATTCTCCAGTTATGTCTATTATGGAATCACTAATATGCGTGAATTGGTTGGAAACTTAACTTCAGTATTTACTTCAGTAATAAGAAATCTCCTGAGTAGTACTTATGAATTTCTAAGTTTGATTGGTTCAAATCTGAGTAATATTTTTGGAAATCTGGGAAATATTGTAAGCAATATTGTTTCAATGATTTATTATAATTTTTCTGGGATCATTGATGGTTTTATCAACTTTGGAATCAACATAGTCACGAATTTAAGAGAAGTTCTGAATATGGTAACCCGTAATATCATGAGTTTGGTATCCGGAGCGTTTTCAAATATCTACTACTTTATCACCAACTTCAGGGAAGCTATTACCACAATCGCCACCATGATCTATTCCAGACTTACAGGAGTTTTAAGTGGAGTGTTCACATTCATTTCAACCAGCATCACTCAACTCACCGATAACCTATATAATTTGATCACGAATTTTGGAACCATTTTAGATGGAATTATAAGATTTGTCTATTCTACATTCACGGAAAGTCTAGGAAACGTCGTCCGTTATATTTTTGAATTTATCAGAAATATCAACACTAATCTCTACAATGCTCTCATAAATCTTGGAAGTGCTATTGATAGATTAGTTAGAATTTTGTATAACGCTGCATTGGCTGGTTACAACTTCTTTTCGGGTATAGCTGGAAACATCTATACAGCACTCACCTCTGGTCTCAGCTATGTCATCACAAATTTACGTGAAATTTTGGAAGCAATTATCAGAATGATATATTCTGGTATAAGTACTGGAATACAAACAGCTGCAACAGTTGCTAATATCATCTCCAACAACCTTAGTGATATTTTATATGAAATTGTTACTAATCTACGAGATTTAACCACTAATATTGGCAGGTTCATCTATACAGCTCTTACGACTGGTTTAACCACATTGATTAGCAACACTTTTGATATATTCAGACAAATTTCTTCTAACATGGTTTATCTGATAACCAATTTACGTGATATCATCATCAGTATTTCTGGAATGATTTATTCTGGAATTGCTAACACCATCAACTTTATTACGACCAATGGCATGGCTTTTATTAGATATATTGGTTCAAGCCTCTCCAACGCTTTCTATAATATCCGTGACGTTTTATACAACACCGCCATCTATATCCAAAGCGCCATCTCTGCGGGACTAGCTCAATTGGGTTCTGCTATCATTACGGCATACCAACTTGCAGGAGCTACTATTACCGGAACAAGCGAGACCATCGCATCGGTTGTTTTTGCTGGTGGTACTATTTTGGGTACTGGTATATCTGTTATTGGTAATATGGTTGGAGGTGTAGTCATAGCAATCTCCGATGCTATTTCTACAACGATTAATGGATTAACTGGAATTATTGGAGCAGCAACTTCACTTTTGCTTCAAGGTCTAGTGACGTTCCTTGGTAACGACTTGATCGCTACGTTTATTGGGTCTCTTGGTAGAATTGTATACAATGCTGGTATTATGATCAGGAATGAGATAGTTATCTTCCTGACTACTACGCAAAATGAAATTATCAGAGTTATTACTACTTTTCTGAGTAATTTTAGAATTGTGGTTCAAACTGGATAAAAATTCTGAAATTTTGAAAAAAATTGAAAATTGAAAACCTAAAAAATAAAATCTATGCTTTATCATCAAAATTTATATTTATATTTGAAATAAAAATTTTCTATAAAAATATACAGACCCTGTGTTAGATAAATTGAATATATTCTTAATTTAATTATGAATTCTATTTGCTAAAACAAAAATAACATAATTTGTGATAAATATTCAAAAATTAGTCTAAACCTTAGCAAAACGACCAAAAAAACCCAAAACGTCATCAAATTTGAATTTTACACATGTTATCATGTTTTTTAAACACTTACGCAAATTTATACCGAATATATACATTTGCACAGATTATTATTTACGTATATATAGGATTTGGTCAGGAAACCTTTTAAAATAGTAAAATATTTGTCTTCAAAATGGTACCTGGGTTAATAACCCTCTTTTAAACCATAACTAATTTATATTTGTCTACAGGTGAACCCTACATTCTTTGTCACAGTCCTTGCTGCTTTTGCCTTGGCTACACCTGCAGTATGTCAAGAAGAACCAAGAATTTTTGGTATGATCAACCAAGTAACTAATGGTGTCACCAACGTTGTTACCAGCAGTGTTATCAACGCAGCTACAGTCACTAACAACGTTGCCAACAACGTTGCCAACGTTATTGCTGACACTACCACTAATGTGGGTAATGTAGTTGCCACTGTTGCAAATAACGCCGGAAATGCAGCTAGCAATGGCATCAACGTGGTAGGTGTGATTACCAGTGGTGTGGGCCAAACTATTTCAAATACGCTGAACGAAGTCAATCAGGTGGTTAATAGCATCACATCATTCGCCGCCAGCGGAATGATTTCTGGATTGATCGCAGCGATCAGAAAGGTTGTTATTGAAGTTGTTGAGGTCGTCACTGATGAGGTCCGGGAGACAGTTACTACTATCAAGGATGAAGGTAATAAATTGGTCAATGAAATTACTTCGAATGTCCAGGAATTTATTAGCAACCTTCGTCCAGTTACCACCTCTGGTTAAAAGTTGTATTATGATTGATTAGCTTTACTTAAACAATAAACGTAGCTACAACTTTATGTTTAAATCAATGTTTTTCTATTTTCACCATTGACGCACCAGTTTTTCACGGTTTTAAAACACAAAAATAGTATTTTAAACACGGGCGATCAAAACCGTGACTAAAGTACTTTAGTCACGGGCTTTTTTACAGGGTGGAGCTTGCGGCTGTGCATTTGCCTACGGTGCTGCACAAAACCATATTAAATGCAATGCGACATCAGTCAAACAAATGAAATTTTGCGCTGCTGCTGCTCTTAATCAATTTTATGACTATAACTCCAGTTTAGCCACTTGATACTTCATACACTATTATATGTCAGTATCTATCCATATTTTAAATTCATAAATTTTTAAAGCTTTTAAATTAACAGATATTACTTTGACGTCATTTTCTCCATGTAAAAAACGGTAAAAACAGAAATTTCCATATTTAGGTCTAGGTGACGCAAATGATTTAACAATAAATTATATTCCTTTTAAAAATACATACCCTGCAAAGCTTATGATGCAAGTTTTAGTTTAAAAATTCAAATTTTCGCGTTTAAAAATATATTGATTGCTTTTTTATCTCTGTAAAAATAATTATCTAATTGTTTTTTTAAGTGTGTCTTACTATATAAGACTTTATTACTTGTTAATTTTTTAGTTTCCACTTTGTTACTTAACAAGAAGATTCTAACATTATGGTAGGCCATTAGAAAGAAGAAATGTTACTTAAATTTATATAATTCTTTTGATTTAGATGAAGATAAGTATCCTGGTGGCAACCATTGCAATTTTGCAATTGTCCGCCCCTGTATCATGCGGATGGGGACTGGGAAGTTTAGTTGGTGGAGTTGTTAGTGGTGTAGGTAATGTTGGTAGTGGTCTTGTTGGAGGACTTACTAATGCTACTACAAGCGTTGTTGGTAGTGCTGTCAATGTAGGTTCGTCCGTAGTCAATGCTGGTACAAATGTAGTTGGAGGAGTAGTTGGGGGAGTTGTAAACACAACCACTAATGTTGTTGGTGGTGTGGTCAATGCTGGTAACACCGTGGTTGGAGGAGTGGTCAATGGTGTGGTCAACACCACCACTAATGTAGTTACTGGAGCAGTCAACGCTGGTACCACTGTAGTCGGTGGTGCAGTCAATGCTGGAACCAACATTGTTGGTGGTGTGGTCAACACAGGTACCAGTGTCATTGGTGGTGCCCTCAATACCGGAACCAACGTCCTAGGAGGTGTTGTTGGTGGTGTTCTTAACACCGGTACTGGTTTGCTTGGTAACGTTGCAGGCGGATTGATGGGAGGTGTGACAGGTATCATTGGAGGTTTAACCAACGGTGTAATGCAAACCATGATAAATTCAGCAATCAGTGCTATCTCTGCTATGATTAGAGCCACAGTTATTGCAATGTACAATGAGGCTGTGGCTACAGCTATTGCATTGTGGCAATTCATGTGGGAAACAATTGGACAACTTACCAGCGCTGTCATGTCTGCTTTACCTGTTCTTGGTTAATACCATAAAAGAATAACTCTTGAAATTTGATGTAATAACTCATAATGTTAATAAAAATTTATTTGTAACCACTACTTGGCATTTGTTTTTTAAATAAATAAAGCAATAGTTTCGATAATGTGTTATCATATATATTTACGTTAGACATTTCAAAATCAGAAATTGATCAATATTTGACTATAAATTAAAGTGTGGAGTTATTAATTGTACTTAGTATTTACCTACTACCCAACAGTAACAAAATTCAATAGCATAAAACATGGTAAGTGTCAATCTCTAGTTTTTTTTATAATAATAGTTTTTGGAATTAATTTATATGAAAATTGTAGGCTAAGATTCTTGCTATTGTAACTTTTGCCACCTTGTACCTAAGTGTAGAAGTTAATGGTCAAGGTTTGAGTGGTTTGGCTGGTGCCATTAACGCTGGTACCAATGTGGTTACTGGTATCTCCAGCGGCGTTTCAAACACGGTTGCATCCGGGACCAATGTTCTTAACGCTAGTACCACTGTAGTTGCTGGAGCGATCAACACAGGTTCTAATATAGCTAGTAATGTAGTCAACGCTGGTTCTAACATTGCTAGTAATGTAGTCAACGCTGGTTCTATCATTGCTAGTAATGTGGTCAATGCTGGTTCTAATGTAGCTGCTAATGTGGTCACTGCAGGTGCCAACGTAGTTGGAAATGTTGTCAGCACAGGTGCCACTGTTGTTGGTGGTATTACCAGCATTGTTACTGGTGGTGCTTTTGCTAATGCAATTTACTGGTTTGGCATTATTGGTGCTACTGTAGCCGCAATTACCATTCTTGTGTAATAAACATTGATAATTCAATAAAATATCTCTCAAAACTCGATTTTGATTCTTTGTTCATTCGTAAAAATTTTATCGATTTCAATTCTTACGCAATTGTGGTAAATATTACATTTATGGTATTTTCATTAGGACATACTCGTATTTAATATCGGCAATTGATTTATTTACACAATTTGATTGCACTGTGAGTAATTAACACTAATGAAAAGTTAAGAAGAGTTTCTAAACTTTCCATTAGAATTTGTTTACGTATAATATTTAAATCAGAGCAATATAATAAACAGTGAAAAACAAAAACAGGTAGGTACTTCAACAAATTGATTTGCTAATTTACCTAATTTATACTCATATTTAGATAATACTTACGAGTAAGTTCTTATCTTGTAGTAGTATATTTTAATTTTGGGAAAGTTTCCACTGAAACTGATCTGATATGAGGTACTATATAACAAATCCACTTTTTCTATTTGGCACTTACGTCTGCTAAGTCTAGAACGAGCACACCAAACCCTTACAAAATGGTAAATACATACAAGTAGTTTAACTAGTACAAGAAGTAAATTTAAATTATTTTATTTGGAATTTACAGGCAAAGATTAATTTGGTTATTGCGGCTCTTGCCCTATTCTGCCTGGTTGCTGTCAACGCTGGTCCGTCTACAGAAATCAGGGCTGAAGGTTCCAGTGGTGGAATACTGGAAGGACTTAAATACGCTTTCCTGGTAGTTTTCCAAGTGCTTGTTTATATACCAGTAATTATTTACCAATACTGGGCTAGGTTATGGATATAAGCTCAAATAAGGACGCCCGAACATGTTTTAAATAAATCTAAGTAGCATCATTTAATCGGTATTTTGAATTACCCCACAAGATATTTTTAAAGACTTCCTAACATTATAACTTACATTTACCATATGTTTTTATGCTCCATACCCCTAAAGTTATTAGTTTTTACTAGTAAAGTTGTTTCCTTTGATGCTTATAAATAAAAAAGGTTGATTTTCAATTTTCATAAAAAAATAAATTAATAAATATAAATTTGGTGGAGGCGCCAAATATAATTATAATTAATGGTTTATATACGGCTTATATAAACCGTATATACACCATTATTTGATCAAATATAGGTACTAAGGGCTTGCCTTGTAGACCTTGATATTTAATTGCAATATGTACTTACAACATTATTTAATAATTAATTATTTCGACGGAAAACATGTTAATGTCCAGCATGGAATTCTAAATAACCTTAGATTTTAAAAATGGTGTTTTAAATTCTTTTTTGCATTTTCTATCTAACAAGATTTTACTAAATGGCTTAAGCAGTTGGCTTAAGTTTAAATTTGACTTTACAAAAACATGCAACATTTACAATATATAACAATAGTTTTTAATCTCATGCAATGTGGAAATATATGTAATTTATAATCATTCAATGGCAGTAGATAGCGTCTTATCGTTTAGCCTATGTTATGCTTAAATATTGCTAATAATTAGCTTAAAAAAATCTGCATATCAGTATAAAACAAAGCACCAGTAGTTCATTCATGTTTTAACTTTGATACTTGAAACATGGTAAGTAACATTTGTAGAATACCATTAATAACAGTTTTTAAATTTGCAAATTTTAGGCTAAGATTTTTTTGCTGGTTGTGGCTCTGGCCATTTTTCAATTGAATACATCAGTTAATGGTCAAGTTATTGGAGGTATTGCCAAAGGAGTAACAAATGTTGCGAGTAGTATCAGCAACGTATTTTCATCAGCAGTAAGCAGAGTATTCAACGCCGTTAGGAACGTATATGATTACATTCTCAATCTTTCTCTTCCTGTCTACGCTGGTCGATTGCTCTTGCAGGCTCTTGGATTTCTTTTAGCGGTACCTGTAATGGCAGTTCTTATTCCAGTCCTTTTGCCAATGGGCATATTCCTTGAACTGTTCATGTATGTTATTTACAGACCATAAATGTCTTCATGTCAATGTTAATTTACCAAAAAGATAAATGTATCTTGGTTTAATTATATATTATGAATCTAATAAAAAACTATTTGTGTTGAATTAAAGAAAAAATCATTTTGTCAATGAGTTCAACAGCAATTAATTCAAAAAATATTATTATTTTGCATTTGCTGACGCGGATGCATACCACATAGAAAAACAACAGCTTAATTTTAAGCACATTTTTTTGCAAAATTTATCTTATCTAATTTATACCAAATAAATCTGCATATCAGTTTTAAATAAAGCGACAACAAGTTCGTTCATGGTTTCAGTTTGAAACTTTGAACGCTTGAATTAAAGACATTTAAATTGGTAAGTGTATCTTATAGCTTAAGTAACCAGTAAGAAATTAATTTATTTATACTTTGCAGGCAAAGATTTCACTAATCATTATTGTGGCTTTGGCCGTTTAGCACTTGAGTACTCCAGTCAATGGTTACCACCATTGATTTTGCTGAAAATACGTTGTACAGCCTTGCAACCATTCTTGTATACGCAGTCTCTGTATCAATTACCATTCTTCTTATTCCACCACTTTTAATCTTAGCGCTTTTCTTTGTGCCTATGATATGGTTGTTGTACAGAATATAAAATAACGCGCTTTGTTATAGAAGTACTGAAAGTGCAAATACTTGAAATTGAATAATAAGCAAAGCAAGTAAATCATTAATTATAACTACTTATTTACTTTATATATTTGATGGTTGAACCATCATGCTTCCATATAGCTATAGACATCCCAGGTTAATTTGTTTCTAATTAATTGCAAATATGGAAATAAATAACAATAAACTTATTAAAAAAATAACAAAACAAGTTTTCCGTTCATTGATTTGCAAATTTATGCAACATACACTCAAATTTTGGCAATGAGGAACGTGTTATCATTTAGTGATATAGCTCAATTTTGTTATTGCTTAAAGCTTATCTACATATGAGTATAAAACAAAGTAACGGCGTGGTTTGTTGTAGTTTCTATTTGGGAACCACAATCTTCTACAACAAACTCATAAAACATGGTTAGTAATAATTTATAGTCAATGTTTTGCTATTATTATTGGATTCCTATTGCAGGCGAAGATTCTTTTGGTAGTTGCGGCTGTTGCCATTTTCTCATTGGGTACACCAGTCAATGGTCAATGGGAAGATCGATGGGGAAGTGGATTGGGCAGTGTAGTCGGTGGTGTTACTGGAACCATTACTAACGCTGTTGAGGCTGGTAGCAGCGCTGTTACCAATGCTGCCAATGCTACTGCAAATCTTGGTTCCAACGTTGTTGGTGGAGCCGCCAATATAGGTAATACTGTAGTTGGTGGTGTGGTCAATACAGGTAACACTGTAGTCGGCGGAGCAATCAATATGGGAACTAATGTCATTGGCGATGTGGTTAATGTAGGTACCAATGTAATTGGTGGTGCAATCAATACAGGAACCAATGTCGTTGGTGGTGCAATCAACACAGGAACCAACGTCATCGGTGGTGCGGTCAATACAGGTACTAGCATCATAGGAGGTACCATTGGAGGAATTACCAACATTGTTGGTGGTTTGACTGGCAATTTCATGTCCATAATGATCAGAGCACTTATTAATAGTATAATCACTGCAATGAGAGTTTTCTTCAGCATGATTGGTACTCAAGCATTAGTCATTGGTGCTGCTATTATGGTCGGTCTGACATACCTTTTGTTCTTCTAAATGTTTTAATACCTAGGCTTAACAAGCTGTAAAACTTACATCAACAATAAATATCAATTAATTTATGGGAGCAAGAGCATTACTTATATTTTCCAAAATTACAGCAACAACAAAAATAATTCATGTGATATACTAAAAACTAATGCAAGAGCATAATATATTTTCATCATTGTAATTATTACGTAAGTGCCTTAGCAATTCAATAACATATTTTGTTTAAAAATCATTATTTTTCAAAATTTATGCACTACATATCAACACGTTTGCAATAGATAACGCTTTATTACCATGGGGGGAAAACCTTAAAGATATTAACCATTAGAATCAAGTAATAACGTGGTTTATAATATTATCACCTCAGAAACCATCAAAATTTAAACTAAACTTAATCAAAATGGTATGTACTTACTCTATGAAAAATACTTTGATTTTAGTTTATTTTATGTTAAAAATTTTCAGGCCTCCAAAATCTGCTTATTACCTGCCATATTCCTGGTGAGTGTACCGGTAAATGGTTAACATTGAATTAGGTTGAATGATGTTATTAACACAGCATGGTTGTAGATCCCGTTACATTTCCAATTCTCAATGTTGGCAACCAAGTTAATCACATAGTTGACAATGTTGGTAACGTCATTGTTGGTGACGTAGTCAACGTTGGCAACAATGTAATTGGAGGTGTAATCAACATTGGCAATGATCTTGTAGATAGTGATATGACCAACATGGTTTATGGTTTATCTGGCATAGTAATGTTCGCAGTAATAATTGCACTCATTACCAGTATGTTAACTGGTCTCCAAGTGTTCTTGATTGGTTTTGCACTTAATATGCTCTTGTAAAATTATTTTATATCTACATAAACTTGATATACCGAGTAAATATGAAATCAATAATTAAAGCCCACTTATTCAAGGACAAAGGCAAATCTTGCATTAATTTGTTACAATTTATTACTTTGCTATTTTTAAAAATGTATTTGAACGCTTGCAAAAAGATAACGTCATATCATAGGGCATGTAATATTGCTTAAATTTGTTAAAATTTGTCTTCAAGCTTATCTACATACTAGTATAAAACTAGGTAACGGTGTGATTAGTGGTAGTTTCTGTTTTGGAACCTCAGTAAGTTAGATATACAGATTATTTAATCTAATTACTGTTATCTAAATTTATTAAAAGATGGTAAGGTATCTGTATATTGTAAATGTCAACCATAATAATTATTTAATTGTAATTTATAGACAAAAACTCATCTGATATTTGTAATTGTTATTATTTTGCATTTAAATACACAAGTCAATGCTCAAATTTGGGGTGGATTAGCCAACACAATTGAAAGTACCATTGCACTTGCCAATTGTAATACCGGTACGAGCAGTGGTTTCCCTCATACACCTTCTACCCCAAATAATGTTGGGGGAGCAATAAATACAGGTACACCAATAAATGGAGGTGGAGTCAATATTGGTACAAATTTGGGTGGTGGTATAGTCACTACCACTTCAAATAATATTGGTGGTGTAAACAACTTAGGCACCGTAATTGTGGGAGGATTGAATGGTGGGGTTGTTGTTAATAACCCTAATGGATCAGATGACCGTCCTCAGATTGGTTTAATTCAATTTTTAAATAATGTATTTATTACCGGAGTTAAACTTTTGTTCACTTGGATTGGTACTATTGTTTTAAGGATCTGCAAAATTATATTTTTTAGAGTTTTATCTCTCGTGAGACTGTAAATTACCAAATCTATAATATAAATAAACTATATTTTGCTATATAATAAATAAATGTATGAAATTTTTCCAAAAATCTTATTAGTTTTCTCTTTGAAGGTGTGTTTATCAAGGTTGTAGGAGGTTTCCATATTAGAAAGCTTTTATTATCCATAATTATTGCTAATATTCCCATTTGTGACCTTTGGACACTTTTAATTTGATATCAATTTATAATTAATTCCTACGTCATGGTCTCACGCAATTTGCAAACAAATTAGCTAAAGTGCTAGTTACGCATTAGTCCAATCATATTCATTTGTAAAGCACTTAAAACACGCGTCACCCATTTGTCAATTGAAGCTATGTTACCATTTGCTAAGGATAACACTTATCTTTGTTTTTATTATCTATGTCTAATGTATTGCTATTATTTGAAGTCAACTCATATCCATATTGGTATATAAGAAAAAAATTGCAGAACATTATTACTGCAGGTCTTTTCAGAACACAGCAACAAAATGGTAAGAATTCTATAATAGCAAAATCAAAGGTACCTACTTCATTAAAGGATTTTTAAATCATTTTAGGGTAAATTAGCTTTCTTACTCGCTGCAACTGCCGTCTTGTACTTGAGCAACCCTGTCAATGGTCAGTTTGGTGGTCTTACATCAATTGCAAATGGACTTACCGGAGGACTTGCCGGTAGTGTAACCAGTGGAATCACCGGTGGTATTTCCTCGGTAACCAGTGGAGTCACTAATGCACTCACCGGTGGAGTATCTGGTATGCTTACTGGTGGAATGTCATCAATTGCAAATGTTCTCACCGGTGGACTCTCAGGTACCATAACCAATGCTATATCCAGTGTGTTTTCTGGGGGCATCGTAGGAATGATTCAAAACGGTGCTAGCACCTTCGGTAATATCGTCAATACGAGCCTTAACGCAGGCATATCCGTTGTTGGTGGTGCAGTCAATACTGTTTTCGGCTCGTTTGGAGAAGTCTTCAGCGGCATGTTCATTCAAGGTGTTGTACAATTCTTCTCAACTGTTATTGCCACAATTGTTAGCGTCATCAGGGCCATTGTTCTTACCTTAGTTGAACAATTGATTAGCCTTTTCACATCCCTTTATTCCTTAATCATGTACAATAACTAACAGTAAATAATGTAACAATTTCTGTTTTGTTAAAAATATCTCAAAATGTCATCGAATAAAATTGTTTTCTGGTAATAAAACCACTGCATTTAGATTTATATTTTTTATAAACTAATCTAACCTAAAATTTAACCTATTTTGAGCAGGATTAGACATATAAATTATAAAATTATGAAAACATGTTGGCACATCGTAAATTTTAATTTTTAAACATTTTTAAACATGTTATCTTTACTTGTCCAAAGTTTATTATACCCAAAAATAATTTTACGACCCTCACAGATAAAAATGAACTTTGTTACAAATATAAAACATTGACTATTGACGTAATTTATCAGATACCTTCATATTAAAGTGTTTTAATTAAATCAATCAACATTACCTATATATTAATGTAAAGTAAAAGCTTATCTATCTATCCCTGAGAGTCCATATCAGAAATTTCCTTTAATTAAAGATAAAAACGACTAAAGACGTCATAAAACACTTTAGAATTACTGTAATGAAACCAGGACTTTTTGGATCCGTGCTAATCAGGCATTGTATGTAGGCAAATTTATTCCTTGTTATCGTATTGGTTAACTAAACAAAACTTTATCATTTCCAATTGCAAATATACTAATGGAGTCCGTGCTGGTGAGCTCTATTATCCGTATAAATATGCAAGACTTCTCGGTTAGTATTTGAATACCCTTTCATAAGTTTGGGTTCCGCAAAATCACAACTCTTGAGCAATGGTACGGACTTAGTCTTTAAAATATTTCCTATTAAATATGCTAATATATAAATTATGTTTTAGGTAAAAATAAATACGGTCCTGCTGGGCCTAGCCATTCTATGTCTATTGACACCAGCCTATACCCAATCAAGTTGGTTAGGCGGCGGAATAACAGGTCTCATTGGTGGTGCCATCAATGGGACCATTGGAACTGCTAGTGACCTGGTAGGTGCAGGAACCTCAGCTGCTACCAACTTGGTAGGAGCTGGTACTTCTGCTGCTACCAACCTTGTAGGAACTGGTACCTCAGCTGTCAGCAACTTGCTTGGTACTGGTACCTCAGCAGCTAGCAACCTAGTAGGAGCAGGTACCTCAGCAGTCGGTAATCTATTAGGAGCTGGTACCTCAGCTATTACCGGCGGTTTGAGCACCGCCTTATCAACCACCACCAACGGCCTATCGTCTATGATCACTGGTGGGCTTAATTTGGGCCAATTCGTAACCTCTGGACTCACAGACGCGTTATATAATGGCGTCTCAACATTTTCCTCCCTTGCAGGAAGTGCCACTTCTATACTTTACAATGGTCTCTACAACTCCCTCAACAGCGGGTTATCATTCGTTTCTGATGCTATGTATAGCGGTGCAAATATGCTTGCAAACGGATTGTACACAGGAGCTGGTTTGATGTTTAGCGCTTTAGGAAGTGGTGTTGTAATGTTAGGCAATGGAATAATAACTATGATAGAATCGAGTCTTGCGTTGGGTCAGTGGATAAGTGAAAGACTTACTCATATCATTTCCGGAGTCAGTGGGCTCATTTTTAGATTTTTTACAACTATTGCCGCTAATACCACTGAAGCAATGATTGGCACTGCTGTGAGCAGTATTGTGTTCACCTTCTCAACCACGGTTAGACACGTGGTATACACTTTATACATTACTATTAAGGAAGCAATCATTGCTCTAATAATATTCATATACAACGAAATTTCGGAATTGGTGATATTTATTTATACTTACACCAGTATGTTTATGTCATTCGTGTATACTCAAATTACCAATTTCTTATATTGGTTGAGGTCCTTTTTACCATTTTAATTAAAACTAATGGAAATAAAGTGTCAAATTGTTAATTACTTAATATTTTTTAATACACTTGTTTATTTCACTTTCCTAGTCGTAATTTTTTTCTAGAATAATGTAGTTTTATAATAAATAAATAAATAAATCGTTATCATATTTCAATAGTGTTCTACATTGCAAATTTCCCGATAATAAAAAAACTGCGCCGCCAATTTAAATATTACTTCACACCGTTAGTAAAATTTGTTATTGGAAAATTTTCTTTATCAATGTTTTGCCACCGCGCCAAAACTGATAAATAACCATACGAAAAACATGTGCGTTAGACATTATTTTTGCATATTCATTGTATGCAAAGTTACCAAAACCAAAATTTGCATGAAAACTTATTCAAAGTGCCCTGACGCTTGTATATAAGCTAACGAACTATAGCCCAACCATCATTGAAGTAATCATCTACTTGCAACAATGGTAAGCTCCGTAATAACCCAAACCAAAACCACAATTATAATATAATTCTGTTTTGTTATTTGTAAGGCAAAAATCTTCTACGCTCTCGTTGTTCTGGCCGTGTGCCAATACGCTGCTGCCACCGAAGAGACCGCAAAGGCATCCGCCATCATCCACTCCAATGCCCCTGCTTTCATCTCCAACATTCTGCACACCGTTGAGAATGTAGCCCAGACTCTGCCCAGCGCTGACCGTATTGACAAATTGATCCAACTCGTCCAGGAAGCTATTGAAAGGATCATCCGTCAAGGTGGCCCACTCAAGGAAATTGCCTTGAAAATCCAAAAATACGCCCAGTTCATGACCAGGGATGTCATTGAAGCCATGATCGCCGCTGCCAAGGAAACCATCGCCAAGGATATGGCTACCCCTGAAGCAGCCAGCATCATCCAGGCCGCTAATGGTATCGCTGCCGAAGTGACCGAGAGCGTGCAGCAAGTTGCTGATGTCGCCCAGGAAGTGGTCGACACCGCTGCTGTCATCTCCGAAGCTATTTAAGTTCTTCGTTTTTAAATATAAATTCAATTGTTCATAAATTAAAGAAATAAACATCTAAATGTGTATATCTTTGACTGTTGCTTGTTACTAAAGATGATATTATAATTGAATGCATATTATTTATCTTTATTTATTTATTTATTTTATAACAAAGATTTAATCATGTGTTACTGGTACTAGATAAGGATTACAGCGGTAGAATAACGTCCAGAAGAATTTTCTGTAGGCTATATAACATTCTCTCCAATATTGGAAAATCGGATCAAAGTATCCAGTGGTTGATGGTTCAGGTTCAACGTAGGTTGGTTTTTCATTAGGTTTTTCTTGGCATAATACAATACCAATTAATATGGTCAAAAGCAGGGCGTAAATAATTTTCTGGAAAAATATATTTTGGTAATTTTTTTTTAAATTTTTTTCTGCACCTACCATTTTTGATGTTTTTTGAGACTGATAGATATTTTAAAATATTGTAAAATATATACCAATGCCAAAATATACAAGTCTAATTTATGTTATTATCGGATAAATAAATTTGCATTGACGTAAGTACCGAATACATTTATTTTAATTTTTAATTTTTTTTTTGAAAAATTAAAATGGCCAATTTACTGTTGTATAAATCATAGTGAAGACAACTTTAGTATTAGCTTGAAACAAATCATAAACCAACATGTAAAAAGGTTCAAAATAACCAATTGCTGGTTGGGGTTCAAGACAAGTATCCTGTGTGGATACATATCCGCAAGTTATTATCACTAATAATAATCCCAGCAACCAGAAATTCTAAAAACGCAAAACGAAAAAATAAATTTTAATTATCTAAAAGATTTTGTAACCTACCATAATGAATGGTGTTCTAAAACCTATGAAAACTTTTTTAAACCTGCAACTATTTATATCTGTCTAAAATTAATTATTCATACAAATATACATTTTGTTTCATATTTTGTAAATTTACGTTTTTAAAATATCATTTTATGCACCCGTTTTGAATTGTAAACATCAACTAAATTAGTTTAAAAGGGGTTCATTGGTACCAGAACGCTATTGGCATTATTGCCGTTACAATGCGCGGGTAATTATAATTTATTGGCTGGACTGTGGTGCGGGCTGGCGCACTTACATTACTTACACACAGTGCGCGTTCGTTTTGAATAATAACGCTGGTATTAGCGGGGGCGATGTGTCGGCACGCCGCTGAAAATTAATAGTTAATAGCCGCCTGCGAGTGGCAAAATTCAGGCGAAGGACATGCCGAATGCTATTTCAGCTACCGCCCCCAACTTACCCATCCTGCTATCAAATAAACGCAAACGATTTGGGTGTTAATGATAATTTGTATTCGGTTATCGATGTTTATATTGATGGTGCGATTCTGCATTTAAGTTTTCTGCATGCAACGCATTATTCACGCGAGCATTTTACGTGTCACTTATTGTTAATATTATTGAAATTTGATTTGTAGGTGTTAAGTTTCATGTTTTGTATTTTTTGTTTTGTTTGTTTGGGTTTTAATGTCGAAACATGTTCAAAAGTGCGGTTTCGTGGGTTGAATAAACGATTTGTAGAGTGCACAGCGTGGAAGATTCGCGCTTTGCGGACGTACCGGAATAATTAACGCTCGTCGTTAATTTGCTCAACGCTTTAATCGCCATTCGAATGGAAATTCCGTTGAATCAAACCAACACTGAGCGAAAGCAAAGCGATTACGATTTTGGATTTAACTCAAACGTTTCATTAACAATGTTTTTCTACCCGAAAAAACAAAAAAAAAAACAGAATTTTATAAGATAAATTTTAACTTATTCTTGTGTATATTTTTATTCTAGGAAAGATTTGGATATAATTTACAAATTATTCCGTAACTCTGCAAATCCGAAAGTCGATGCAAACTCACTGCATCTTGATGCTTTTCCCGCTTTAGTCGTGAAGCTTGCACAAAGTCACCCTCACAGTCGGCACAATGCCCCCGATCCACCACACGCCAATAGCCTAGTAAGTGTTGCACATTGCACGAAGAACGCTGATACAGTTTAGCGAAACTCTTCGCGCCAAGCGGCGCGCCAGGAAAAACGTCGATGCTCCACTGCTGCGCTTCTGGCTGGCGGCCCGAGGCGGAAGGAACATGCACCGACCATAAATATCGAAAGTTATTTTGCATGTTGAACGCGAGTAATACCTAAATAGCTGACTTTATGGCCGCCACGCCGGAATGATAAACTATTTCGATTAGTTTACCTTTAAAAAGGAAGCAGCACAACAACGGCCACAATACTGGCGCAACTCAGTTACCAGCAATTGCAGAATTGCGGCGCTGGGATTTCAGAAGGATGTGTGATGTAGTAAAACTTGTGGTTTTGCCAAAACTCTGTTTGTATTAGTTCACAAAGTACGTGTGAGAGAGGGGAGTGAGAAAATCTTGTGCAAGGTAAATTTATTACAAAGCGCATAATTTATTAGGATATTACATAAATGCGGCTTTAGTTAGTTTCAACATAGTTTCCGTCGGAGAATGTGAGGCATTATTTAATATTATACCGACAAACTTGTGGTCCTAAACAATTTTTCAATATTGAAGCAACATTTCAGTAAATTTCAACACGTACGTAAATCTAAATGCAAAACGTTTGTTGTCTGTTTAGTTCCGCATCCATCTGTCTCCTCGAACTGTACATAAGTCACATTAGTTTTCCTCCGACATTTCTTTCCCCTATTTCGTACGGTTACATATGTGAGACACATTTGTCGTCCATGTTAAACGACACCTCGGCCAGCTTGCTGAATCACTACTACCCCAACGCATATATTTGATTTCAAAGAAAGACCCGGGATGTCCTTCCGACTGCGGTAAAAATATAGGGAGACGTCACCACGTCGCACGCGAAATCCGAGATGCGTTTAATACTTGATTGCGAGGGTGCACCAAGTGGGCACTAATGTATGTATGTACGCGCCGGCCACACAATGGCACCCAGATAGAATTCGTGCGCGTGAATGGATGAATGGCATACAAAAGCCGCAAATTTGCTGCATTAACATGACGATTATTGTGCGCCTAATGGCCTGACAAAAGAGGACTCGCGAGGGGTTTGCGCGCCGCTGATAAACGGGTAGAGACACCCTGTGTGCATGATGTTAGGGTGTGTGTGCCAACTAGGGTGACGAATCAGACACCCAAAAGTTCCTCGGATGAAAATTGACGTATGGGGACCTTGAAAATGTCGATTTGTAAATAAAAGAAGTATTTTAATGTGTGAGGGTTGTCATGGGGGTGAATGAGAAAGGCAAATATGGTTTGCGTGCAATAAAAATAGGGCTGCCACTGATTGCCCATAAATATTGACTTATTTTCACGCTTTCTGCTTTAGTTGTTCCGGTGGGGTTTCAAATTCAGCACGCATTTGATTAAGTAGGGTGAAAACTTATTTTTTGAGGTTATGTTAGGTTAGGTTCGGTGTAATAAGAAATTTGTAAATTTGCAAATGAAGCTAGCCGAATTAGAAGCAGCGCACATAAAATTTTACAACCCAATTTCAATTAAGTTTATTTTCTTCGGGATTAACTCGTTTCCATTATGGTTTCGAGGATTCCCTTCACGGCATGCGGCGCGAATAGAGTGCGACGTCGAGCGCGGGCTCGGTAATGAAAGCACGCTTCACTTGACATCAATACAAAGTTAAGCGCTTGCCATTCCTGCACACGCCTACATTTTCTTCGCTTTTGCAGGTGGTCGTCTGAGAATGTTTCGGTCCATTCGTTCGACTCGTAAATTTCGCTCGCGTTTCGGCTCTAATTTAATTTTTTCACTCCGAAAGACATTCGTAATTCATTTTTACGTTGCTTTTAATTCATTTCCACCCAATTCCGGCGACAAAGAAAACGTTGCTGTTTGTTGAAACTCAAACTTTCGGGCGAATTTATTGTTGTGAAGATGATATTATTAGCTGGAGTGTCATGATGTCAACTCGTGTAGAACAGGAAACTTTTTCGATCCATCCAACAACCACAGACATCATTGGAAACGCCACAAATGTTTTCTTGCCACCC